CTCAATCAGCTGTACTCATCCCCACAAGAAAGTGTGATCCTATCTTTAGAAATAGCTCTGCCCAGCCCCTGCCTTCTCGGCCCCTCCCTGGCATCCCATGCTTGGTTGGTTTGTTTAATGGCTTTATTGAAATACTGCAAAAAAAAAAAGCATGATTCACATCCATTTATTCAAGTGTACAATTCAGTGTTTTTTATACATTCAGAGTTGTGCACTTATTACCACAATCTAATTTTAGAACATATTTATCACTCCAGAGAGAAACCCCATACCTCTTAGTGGTCATTCTCCATGCTCCCGTCCCTCGGCAGCCACTAACCTGCTTTCTCTCTCTGTAGATTTGCCTATTCTGGACATTTCATATGAATGGAATCATACAATAGGTGGCCCTTTGTGTCTAGTTTTCTAGGTTCATCTGTTTTGTAGCATATGTCAATACTTTATTCCTTTTTAAAGCTGCGTAACATTTCATTTTATCCATTCATCAATTGATGGACGTTTGGGTTGTTTCTACTTTTTGGCTGTTACGGAGTATGTGTGTACTAGTTTTGTATGGACAGATGTTTTCATTTCTCTTGGGAGATACCTAGGAGTAGAATTGCTGGATCATTGGGTAACTGTGTTTAACCTTTTGAGGAACTGCTGTACTGTTTTCCACAGTGGCTGCACGATCTTACGTTCCCACTAGCGATGAGGGTTCGAGTTTCTCCACATCCCAACCAGCGCTTGATACTGTCCACCTTTTTTGTTATTGTAATCCTAGTGGCACCAGTGAACTGGTATCTCATTGTGGTTTTGATTTGCATTTCCCAACAGCTAACAGTGCTTTTCCCATGCTTATCACCCATTTGTGTATCTTCTTTGGCATCTTGTGGTTTTCACACACTTTCACACATTTAACACTGTTCTTCAAGGCAGCCCTTGCCCATCTGAGCTTTTGCCTGGAATGAGCCGTTGCTCTAACCCCTTCCCACCTTGACTAACTCCTCCACATCCTTCAAAACAGGCTTAAACATCCCTTCCTTCTCTAGGACAGTGTCCTTGCCCCTCCCCTGGGCTTCCAGTAGGTTCTAACCAAAGCTCTTTTCACAGTGTCTACCTGTTGTCCAACAATTTATCTCTTTGTTACCCTCAGTAAACTCTGAATTATTTAAGGACAGGAACCTTGTCATATCCTGACTTTGACATTTATGTTGACATTGAGCAAGTTACTTAACTCTAAAAGGGAGATGCTAATGGTACCTACCCTGTGGTAGAAGCAGCGAGAACTAAACCAGTTAGTACATGGAAAGCACGTAGACTAGTACCTGGCACAAAGCAACCTGGATCTGTTTATTGGGTTAACAAGCATTTGCTGAGTGCCCCCAGTGACCAGCAACTGTCACAGATATTGGGGTACAGCAGTGGAGATCACGGACCAAAATCCTGCCCTTCATGGATCCGTTGTTCTAATGGGGAGACAGACAACAAACGAGGTCTGTAAATGGAATATATTGTATTTCAGATGATGCTGGGTCCTAAGGATAGCTGGGGAAGACCTCACTGAGTAGGTGACATTTTAACAAAGACCTGAAGGAGGTAAGGGAGTGAGCTATGGGGCCATCAGAGTGTTCCAGAAAGAGAAAACAGCAAGTGCAAAGACCCTGAGACAGGAGTGCTTTAGGCGTGTGTGCAGAACAGCAGGAAGGCCTGTAGGGCTGGAGTGGAGTGATGGAGGCAAAGGGTGGTTAGAGATGGGGGCATCTTTTGGCTGTTGGGAATAATGCTGCTGTGAATGTTTGTGCACAAGTTTTTGTCTGACTACCTGTTTTCAATTCTGGTAGCTTTTCCTTCATCACATTTATAACACTGGGTTTTTGAGGACGGGTGGCCATGCCATATTGTCTTTGTTTGCCCAGCCCAAGGCCTGTCCTGTCCTAAGTCTCAGTGGATGTTTGTTGACTGAATGAATGAGGTATGTTTGTGAATTACCCAACACGTGCTGGCATACAGTGGCGCTGAATGGTTGGTGCTTTTATCATTATTTTTTTTAATGCAGTTCATATATCAGGTTGGCAATACTTTCCTAATTTCAGGTGCTGGCAGGTTGTAGGGAAATGGTTGCCTCAGGCACCACCAGTTAGAATAAAAGCACATACAGGCAAGTTGGAGGGCAGTTTGGTTGTCCCTAGCAAAACCAGAATGCAAGTACCTGTGGCCAGCAGTTGTTCTGGGATCTGCCCTGGAAGAGTGTCTGTGCCTGTGCCTGAGAAAGCATGAGTGAGTATGCTTGTTGCAGTATTGTTTATAATAAAGAAAAAATCAGGAGCATTCTAAATGTCCATCAGTAGAGGCACGGATAAATAAAATGTGGTCTAGTCACACTGCGGACTGGTTTACAGCAGCTAGAAGGAGAGGAAAACCTGTTGAAAACGCTACAAATTGTGGAGTGACACATGCAGTATGATCCCCTGTGTAGTAGAGAAAACATATGTATAAAATCATTTCCTCTGGCTATGAACGTACACATAAGCACGTAGATAACAGATACACAGCGACTTTTAACCGGGCTACCTCATGGGTGTGGGGACCAGGATCAAGGATAGTGATCAGGGGATGCTTAGCTTTGTTGGTGGTGGCCAAAACAATATTTTAAAGAGAGGACTGATGTATTGATTGTGTAGTTAAAATTTAAATGTTAAAAATGCAGTTAGGGGGACTTCCTTGGTGGTCCAGTGGAAAAGACTCTGCTGCGCCTTCACTGCAGGGGGCACGGGTTCCATCCCTGGTCAGAGAACTAAGATCCCACATGCAGCACGGCCACACACACACACACACACACACACACACACACAAAATGCGGTTAGGTAGAGGGGGGAAAAATATCTTTCAGCACAAGAGAAGGAAACAAAACAGTTTTTGGCAAAAAAGGTAAGGGATCCAGTACCTGAGTAATCCTCAGAGCTCGTCCAGTCCTATTATTTTATATTAAGAGTGGTTCTAGAATCTTCCTTAAAAATCTACTCCTCTGGTTGTTTCCTGACTTTTCCACACACGTCTAACCTGATTCGTTTTCCCCATGGGGAAATTTGCTGTTTGTCCCACCACCTGAGCTCCTTCAGGTGCAGGTTTGGACCTCAGGAGTGAGAAGGAGAATGTAATTGCTCGTTAGCCGTGAGGTGAGTTCTTGGGGTAGAGAGAGTATTTTCCAGTGAAGGAAGGAAGAAGAGGGATGGCTGAGAACCTCTGAGTCCAAGAAATATTTAGGTACCAGCTGGAGGCAACCCCGAGGAGCAAACAGCTGAGGGGTGCAAGGCAGTTCCCCTGTGAGAGCATTTCCTCCTCCATCCAATGAGGACGATAAGCGTACTTAAAATGACTTCTACAGTATAGTCAGTGAAGAAAGAAGAGTGCAGAATAGTGCTCCTGGCACATGCAGCCTTTTGTGTACAACGGGGAGATTGCAAGCTGCATTTACTTAAACACATTGAAAAAAAAAAAAAAAAATCTCTGGAAAGGGACTTCCCCGGTGGCATAGTGGTTAAGAATCCGCCTGCCAGTGCAGGGGACACGGGTTCAAGCCCTGGTCTGGGAAGATCCCACAGGCCGCGGAGCTACTAAGCCCATGTGCCACAGCTACTGAGCCTGCGCTCTAGAGCCTGCGAGCCACAGCTACTGAGCCTGTGCGCCTAGAGCCCTTGCTCTGCAACAAGAGAAGCCACAGCAATGAGAAACCCGCGCACCGCAACAGAGAGTAGTCCCAGCTCACCGCAACTAGAGAAAACCCACACGCAGCAATGAAGACCCAACAGAGCGAAAAAATTAATTAATTATTTATTTATTTTTAAAAAGAAAAAAAGAAAATCTCTGGAAAGAGGCACAAGAAACTTAAAAGCTTGTCTCCAGGTAAGAAAGATAGCTGTGCGGAGCAGGGGAGGATCACAGAGACCGTGGAATTCCCTCTTGTACCTTTGGAACATAGAACCATGTGAACAAACTATCTTTTCACAAAAAGAATTTAATTTTCATTTTAAAAAATGACCAGTATGTCATTGGGTGGGTTGGGAAATGAAACACGTGTGACACTGTCTCTTGGGCAGTTAGTATGCAGGGACATTTAGGGATCAGTTCATGTGACCAGGACAGGCAGTGAGGCTTTCCATATCCTTTTCCCTCCCCACAGCAGACAGACAGACACGCCTCCTGTTTGTCTGTCCAGACAGGTCTCTAATGCTTAACATAGGTTCGTTATATTGATACCTGGGAAGGTGAGAAGCCTGCAGTGTGCCCGTCCACAGGGAGGAACAGGCCCGAGGAAATTAGGACCAGAACCCCAGGCAGCTTAAGGAGGTGAGAGAGCAGTTGAAAACTGCATCTACCTGGTCTCTGTCCCACCCTCCCAGTTGGGGATGCCTTGTGCTGTGGAAGAGAGATGGCCTTTACATGGAGGGGAGCACTGAGGTTTCCCTGCTGCAGACTGGCTTAGAAAAGCCTTTCTGCCCCTCTCTGGGGCTCCGTTTCCTGCACCTGGGGTTGGCTGGGCCCACCAGGCAGGGTAGTTGTGTAAGAGCCAGACAGAGTGGCCCAGGTCACCACCAGCCCCCGCCAGGCGACTGCTGGCGTCTTGCCCCACCCCACCTCCCAGCAACCTGGGCGAGTCTTTCAAAACGTAAATCAGATCCTGGAACTTAAGAACTCTATCGTGGCTTCACACTGCACACTGGTCTGGCCACACTGGCCTCCTCGCTGCTCTGGAGCCTGAGACTCTGCCTTGTCTAAGGTCTGGTTGGCAAGCTGCTCGTCGCTGATCAGTTGATTTCCATTCTTTTTTTTTTTTGCGGTACGCAGGCCTCTCACTCTTGTGGCCTCTCCCATTGAGGTGCACAGGCTCTGGACGCGCAGGCTCAGCGGACATGGCTCACGGGACCAGCCGCTCTGCGGCATGTGGGCTCTTCCCGGACCGGGGCACGAACCCGTGTCCCCTGCATCGGCAGGCGGACTCTCAACCACTGCACCACCAGGGAAGCCCTGATTTCCATTCTTGAAGGGCAGGCTCTCTGGGCTTATCCGTTCCCTGAGGTTTAGAGGGGTTTTCTTTGACTCAAAGGAGAGTAGGGGATCCGATTCAAGAGAGATTTAAGAAGCAAGAGTCAGGGTCTCACATGTTGGTGAGACAACCTAGAGGAGATGATGGTGGGGGACAGGGAGTTCCTGCACTGACACAGCAAAGGTACCGGCTGGGCCGGGCCGGGCCGGGCCTTTGAGCCTCAGCGGGCATCACATTTCCCCAGGCAGGGCCGCGTTCAGCAGCGCTGGGCTGGGCTGATGACGACCAGGGGCAGCGGTTCCCTCAGTCTCTGATTTCCTGCCTTGTCTCTCCCATGTCTTCTCCCCTCCTCTGGTCTCTCTGAGCCCGTGGCCACACTTCCTCCAAGTCTTAAATAAATAGCTAATTCCAAAGGGAAAACGTAGTTGGTACAGACAGTTCCTGTCCTTCCTGGGTACTGTCTGGGCTCAGCGTTGTTGGCAGCCACCAGGTGGCTGTGCAGAATGCTGGGAGCGGTTGCTCCCGTCACTTCCCAGAACAGCATTAATAAGTTAACATTTCCTGGGTCCCGAGAATACACCAGACATGGTGCTAAGTGCTTGACACGGATTAGACCATTTTATCTTCACAGAGACCGTATGATTCTGGAGCCGTCATCCCCTTTTTTCAGATGAGGAAACTGAGGCCCGGGGGATGAATTTAGAACTAAGATCCCAGGGCTAGGAGTGGAGGAGTGGGCGCTCGGGCTGACAGGCTGCAGCGCCCACTTCTCGTTGCTGGGCTGTGTCCTGCCGGGCGACTGGCAGAAGAGGTTGGGCAAAGTCCTCTGTCCGCAGAGCTCACGGAAGTGCGTGGGCTGGACTTCTCGTGACCGCTGCAGGCCTGCGGCCCTCCTCCCGGCCCATCAGTGGACTAGACAGACCTGGGCCCCATTAAGGAGCTGTGGGACATGGAGTCCTTTGGCTGGACTCGTTGCTGCCCCAAATGAAACAGAGTTTCTGTTATGAAGGAAGCGGGTGGATGTGGGGCAGCTGCCTCTGCCCCGGGGGATGAGCCTCGTGGTGGGAGAGTCACTTCTGAGGTGAGAAGGTGAAGGGCCGTGGTGGGGATGGGAGGGAAGTGGGGTCCCGGCTTTGTGTCCGGTGGGTGGACTGGCTGCCAGTCTGCTTCTGTGACCCGGCCCTCGACCCCACTCCCCGTCAGCCTGCTGCTCCAGCCGTAGCTGTGCAGAAGCTGCCCTGGAGGTGTGTCACTCCCTCGGCTTCTCAGCCACATGTCTGCCCAGAGCACCCCACTCCTCCATTAAGACTTAATTCTGACATCTCCCCCTCCGCTGCCCCAGAAGGAGCTCGATTCCTTTCTTGGGACTAGTGTTCGCCGCTGTGTGACCTTGAAGAAGTCACATTAACTCTCTGAGCTTGTTTCCCATCCAGGAAGGGTTTAGTGTGCTGCTTGCTCCCTAGTGCTCCTGGCCAGGTACCGCTTACATAGGTGGCACTCAGCAAATGTAGTTAGTATCGGTTCTCAGGCCATCGGTCAGCCACAGTTATTTATTGGGCGCCTGCTGCATGCCAGGCACTGCTCTGCGTGCTGGGGGTACAGCCATTAACAAAACAGGGAAATCCTGCCCTTTGGGGCTGACACCATCACAACCACAAGCCCTCCTTGGTGCTCCCAGGCCACCCTGTCCCTCCCCTCCGTCATACACGGCCTCTTGTTGCTGGGTGTCACACACATCCACACCCCGATGAGGTCACCCCAGTGGCCGGGGATGTCTGGATTTTCAGGATCACAGCTGTTCTTTCCCCAGTAGCTCCGCAGCTGCTAGGGTCCCGCGATCGCGCCCCGACGCACAGAGGCAGGCCTGCCCTGGCCCCGTCGCCCCTCACTCCTGCCCCTTTCTCAACCCCAACTCCAGGATGTGTTTCCCATCCATTTCTCTGTATTGAGTTCCATCCTGTTCTTTCTTTGTCCCCCACCCCAGTTTCCTATTGCTGTTGTAACAGGTTACCACGAACTTAGCCGTTTAAGACAACACAAATATTTCCTCTTACAGTTCTGGAGGTCAGAAGTCTGAAATGGGTGCACAGGGCTGTGTTCCTTCTGGACACTGGGGGAGACTCTGAGTTTTTCCTTTTCCAGCTCCTAGAGGCCACCTGCTTTCCTTGGCTCATCGCCCCTTCCTCTGTCTTCAGAGCAGCAGTGTAGCAGCTCTCGGAACGTTCTTCCATGGTCACGGTCCCTCTGGCTGTCCTCTTCTGCCTCCTGTTCCAATAAGAACCCTCGTGATTACATTGAAAGCCCATGCAGATAATCCAGGATCATTTCCCCATCTCAGGATCCTTAATCACATCTGTGAAGTCCCTTTTTGCCATGTGAGGTCACGTATTCACAGGTTCTGCGATGACGGTGTGGACATGTCTTAGGGCTGTTGTTCTGTCCACCACACACAACCCCTCCCCCATACCCTTCTTAATCTTTCTTTTCCTCTTGGTCCAAGGCTGAGGTCCCCCCATATTAATTCCCAAACACCCCTGTTCCTGGTGTCTAAGAAAAGGGGCTGGGGTAGGGAGGGAGGGAAAGGAGAGCCCAGGGCTCAGTAACAGTGCCGCCTGCCTGCCCTCCAGCCACACCGGCCTCCTGCTGTCCTGGTCCCACCCCAGGGCTTTGTTCTGGCTCCTCCCTCTGGTCTCAGATGCACTTCCCTCTGGCCGCCTCTGTTAATCCCCTCACCCCTGTGCAGCGTCCCCTCTTCCCCTTCCCTTGCCCCACTTGGTCTTTTCTCCGTGACGCTGAGCCTCTTCTAACATGCCATGTAATTGCTCTGTTGTGTCTTGTTTTCCTGTCTGTCTCCCCCGCTGGAATGTAGCTCCACGAGAGCAGAGACTCCTCTGTCTCATCTACAGCCGTATTTTCGGGGCCTTGAATAGCGTCTGTACATAGCAGGTGATCAAAAATACCTGTTGGGGCTTCCCTGGTGGCGCGGTGGTTGAGAGTCCGCCTGCCGATGCAGGGGACGCCGGTTCATGCCCCGGTCCGGGATGATCCCACATGCCGCGGAGCGGCTGGGCCCGTGAGCCATGGCCGCTGAGCCTGCGTGTCCGGAGCCTGTGCTCCGCAACGGGAGAGGCCACAAGAGTGAGAGGCCCACGTACCGCAAAAAAAAAAAACAAAAAAAACCTGTTGTACGAATGACTGTTGTACTGCAAAGAATTTGTGTGCTCTCTGTGACTCCCCCCGGGGACGGGCCATTTTCCCTCTCTGTGTTGCCATCACTGTACACAGGGTAGGGCTGAGTAAATGCCAGAGTGAAGAAAGTAGATGAAGTTCGGGTCTGGAGAGGCAGAAGAACTGAAGGTCGGTGGACCTGAGCAAAGGTGGAGGTGATGGCAGAGAGCCCTGGTCCTTGAAGCTGGGGGTGAGTTGTGTCTGTAGGTGGGAATCCCAGGCGCCCCGGGGCCGTGCAGGTGGCCGGATGTGGTTTGGAAAATGAGGGCAAATGCGGGGCTGGTGGCTCTGCCAGTAACACCCTCAGTGATCTCAAGGCAGCCCCTTTCACTCGGGGCCTGGGTCCTACGTGGACCAACTATCCCAGCCGCGGCTGCCCAGTTCCGAGCAGCTGGCCCGGGCACACCCTCCCCTCTTCCCAGGGAGAGGCACCACTTCAGTTTTTGTGCCTCCCCGCTTGCCCCCAAGCAGCGTCAGCTTCTCTGTTAGGAAAGCTCACCCCTTTGGTAAAAGTAGAAAAGCCCTCAGAGGGCAGAGGGCTTTTTTTCCTTCTCTTTTTTTCACAGCTCACAATAGTGTGTATTTGTTCAGCCATGTTTTATGAGAAACACCCAAAGTTCTGGTCTTCAGTGGCTTTGTTAACCGGGACAGACCCTGCAGAACTATCACTTTGTTTCATTTTGGTGCAGATGTATACATGTCCCAACCTGGGATTCTCTCTCCTCCATCCCCAGGGTCCTGGCTCAGGCCTTGGGCTCTTGGCCTAGACCGTCCCCCAGCCTCCTCCCAGCTGCCCCACCTCCAGCCTCTACTGCTCCAATCCATCCCCCACCATGTTAGTCCCCCCCTCCCCCTGCCTTAAAGTCCCTCTGTGGCTCCCTCAGGATAAGGTCTGGCCATTCACGTGACATCGGTGGCTCTGCCAGCTTCTCCCATCACATCACATGGCACCATACATGAACGTGGTCACAGGTCCCCAAGACCACCCTCAGCTTCTGTGATTTGCTGGAAGGACAGATCACAACTCAGCAAAGCTGTTATAGTTATGGTTTATTACAGCAAAACCAAAACAGGGTAAAATCAGTAAGGGGAGAAGGTATTCGGGGCAGAGTCCAGGAGAGACCAGGTGGAAGCTTCCAGTTGTCTTCTCCCAGGGGAGTCACACAGACAGGGCTTAATCCTCCAGCAGCAATGTGAGCACACACGGGATGTTGCCCACCAGGGAAGCCTTGCTGTCCAGGGTGGTTTTAGCTACAGTCATGCAGGCACCGTGTCACCTTCGTTATTCAGTCTCTAGCCCCCTCACAGGGCAAGCTGATGCCGTGTGGCCCAAGGCCCACCTTAGAGACACTCTGTCAGGCAGGATGCTCCAAGGGCTTGGAGGTTCCCTCCGCAGAGCCGGGCAAGGGCCAGTCCTTTCTTTGGAATGTGCAGGGTTCAGCCCTGCCCCGCGCAAGTTATCCCTCCAGCCCATGCCGACAGCGTACTCAGGCCCCAGAGCCACACCTGCTGGTCAGCCTCTCTCTGCCTCCACCCGGACCCTCCTCCCTGTCTCCGGGCTGACCCCTCGTCCTTCAACGCTCAGCTCAGGCATCCGCTCCCACTACCTGTGACCCAGCCTTGCCCCTGCCTGCAGCCCTGGTACTGAAAACCCGACGTTTGCCGCGTCTCTGGCTGCCTTCAGGGTTTAGGTCATCTCCCTGGGCCTCACTCTCCTTGTTCATCAGATGGACCTGCTCTCAGGAATAAGTGAGCCGTAACACACAGGGTGGGCTGGATCAGGACGTGTTCACCACTCCTTAGTAGGTCCCTGGCATCCAAGGTGTTGGAAACAGATGAGGCATTTAATAAATACAGAACCGTTAAACCAGACAAGGCCCCATGGGAGATTGTTTTTCTTGTGGTATAAAAAGCAAAGAACTTTCTATAAATGCTTTTCTGAAAAATTTTAGCTGCAGCTTATAAATAGCAGAAGCTCTCTCGAGTGAGGTCTTGGGAACTGAGACACGTGGGTGTAACAGTTCAGATGCTTCTGGCTGCTGGTAGCAGACCCAGCTCGAGGTGGCTCTGCAGTGAGCCGGGGGGTGTGAGCGTCTCTCGAGCAAGAAGGGAACTGGTGCAGGGCCGGGTGCCGGTGGTCCCAGAGGCTAAGGCACTTGCTGTGGCGAGAGTGAAGAGAGGCCTTTGTCAGAAGCCCCCAGAAGAGCTTTGTAAAAAGGCCAAGGTCATGATCCCGCCCCTGGAGAGAGACTGATGTTGGTGGCCTGATCAGCTTACATTTTGAGTGTATGTCCCAGGAGGTGGTGGGTCGGAGGCAGCCAGTTGAGGTCTGCTGGCTCAGACCAGGCAGGCGCACCGGGAGGGCGGGCGGCCCCGGGCCCCTCTCCCCAGAAGCACATGGCTGTGTGGAGGAGACTGAACAAAACCAGGGGTCTGCGGTGGAAGGTGGAGGGGCAGCTACCTATGCAGAGGGAAGAGGAGACAGGACTGGCGGATGCCTTCTCTGGGCCAGGCATGCAGCCCCTGTCATGACCGTGTTTATTCTTCAACGTGTGAGGGGAGTATCGTCATTACAGGTGGGAAAACTGAGGCACAGGGCGGTTCAGGAGACACCTGCGCTGGGCCCCACAGCTAGTGAGTGGCAGGAGCAGAGTTCAAGCCCAGGTCTTTTCTTCATGCTCGGAGACCAACTTCGTGTCTGGAAACAGGGAGCCGTCTTGCAGCTGCTTTTAAATGGAAGGAAAATAAGCACATGAGGTTGTGGGGTGGAAGCTGGGGTGCAGAATAGCCGCCATGCCCCCAAAGCAGGGCTGCTTGCCCTGTAACCAGGATGGCGGGGGGTGCCCATTTGATGAAGTAGAGATGAAGAGGGCTTTTCAGTGCAGGGGCGGGGCTCTAGGGCCCACCGTGGGTTACTTCCGTCTGAGCCTCTCCTCCCCCATCTGTGCGCTGTGGCCATCATCCCGAGGACCTCGTAGGACAGGTGTGAAGTTGGCTGAGGAGGGGGTACGTATCACAGTGCTGTCGGGGCTGCCCCAGAACCACTCTCATTTTGACGCTGGAATGGGTCAGGCAGCCTGAGGCCCGCTCAAGAGTGGCAGCTGACCGTGAGTTCGTGTTAAACTTGAGGTCAGCCACAACCTCCAGGTCTTTTTCCTAAGCACTTCACAGCTGGATTCACACCCACCCCCGGCCTCCCTCCCTTCCTCACCAGCTTCCAGGGGCTCGCCCCAGAGTGACGGTGCAGCGTGTGCCTGTGTGCAGCGACCGAGGTCATTAACACCATACCCACCTCCCTCCCGACTTGGCCATACTTCAGTGTCGTAGGGGCCACTCCCACTTCCCTGATGAGGGAGCTGAGTCTCAGGGAGCCCTGGGGAGTCACGGGGTCCCCCTTCATATCCGTCAGACACTTTCTACTCCCCAACTGTATTCGTGTCTTATATGGCTGTTCGCACAAATTATCACAAACTTATTAGCAGCTTAAAACAATGCATATTTATTCTCTGTATTTACGGACATCAGAGTCCAAAATCATTCTCACTGGGCTGAAATCAAGGAGAGCTGGTTCCTACTGGAGACTCCAGGGGAGATTCCTTTTCCTTGCCTTTTCCAGCTTCTAAAGGCCACCTGCATTCCTTGGCTTATGGCACCTTCCTCTATCTCCAAGTTAAAAATGCGTTACTCCAGTCTCTGCTTCCATCTTCAGATGGTCTCTTCTCTAGTCAAATCTCTTTCTGCCTCAATTTTATAAGGACACTCATGGTGACATTTAGGGCCCACTGTTTAACCCAGGATTATCTCCCCGTTTCAAGATCCTTAATTTAATCACATCTGAAAATTCCTTCTGCCGCATACGGTAGTATATTCCCGGGTTCCAGGGAGTAGAACATGGGTATCTTTATTTTATATATATATATATATATATAAATTTATTTATTTGTTTTTGGCCGCGTTGGGTCTTTGTTGCTGCGCACAGGCTTTCTCTAGTTGCGGCGAGCGGGGGCTACTCTTCGTTGTGGTGCGCGGGCTTCTCGTTGCGGAGCATGGGCTCTAGGTGCGCGAGCTTCAGAAATGGTGGCACATGGGCTCAGTAGTTGTGGCTTGTGGACTCTAGAGTGCAGGCTCAGTAGTTGTGGCGCACGGGCTTAGTTGCTCTGCAGCATGTGGGATCTTCCCAGACCAGGGCTCGAACCCGTGTTCCCTGCATTGGCAGGCGGATTCTTAACCACTGTGCCACCAGGGAAGTCTGACATGGGTGTCTTTAGAGGACCACATCTTTGGTCCTGACCTGGCATGGTGTTATTTACACATGCCGACTCCCCTGCTTCCTTCAGCCCAGCCTGTGGTGTCCATCCCCTCCCCACACCCAAGTCACCTTTGGGGCAAGACAAGGTGTGATTGAGCACCAGCCTAGGGGAGGTTTGTTTAATTCAGTCACCCTATCTGTCCCACTCGAACTGTGATTCTAGAATCTGGCTACACAAGTTCGCTGATTCTTCAGAGTATATTTACACCCTGTAATATGAAGGTCTCTTTCAAAAACCAAACTTATCAATTATGTGTCTATTATACAGATGGAATGAACATTTGGAAGCTACTGCAAATTAGCAAGGAGACCATCCACCTGTACTCCCACCAGCCAAAGACAGCCCCCAGTCACATGTCGGTGTATTTCTTTCCAACCCTCTTTGTTCAGAGTAGTTCTGTTTTTCCACAGCTAAGATCACACTGCAGTAGTAAATTTGCATTCTGCTTCCCTTTGTTGTCATTTCCTGCGTTTCTTTAATATAGTTAGAGGCCGTGTCAGTGGGTATAATGCAGATCTTCCCGTATATCTGATACCTAATTGATCCCCTAATTCGGTGCAGGGAAACGCCCTGTCATCTGGTGCCCGCGCTGGGTGAGGAGCTTCGTGGATCAGGCCCATGGCCTGGGGTCAGCTCCTGATAGGTCACCGCAGCCCTCTGAGCCCAGTTTCCTCATCTTGGACGTGGGGACATAACCCCTCCCGCCAGACAGTAGTGAGAGATCGTGTCCCTGAGCAGCCCGCCTGATGGTTGGTGCTCAGCGTGTGATCACTCAGGCCCACTGACCTTTTCCTCTCCAAGTCACCTTTGACTTTCCAGCTAACAGATGGCTCTGCTCAGAGCTTTTTCAGTTAGAAATTACGGAACTCAGTCAGCTTAAACTGAACAGGGCGTGCTGGCTCATGGCACTTCTGAGGAAGACAGAGTGGGGCTGCTGAGCAGGACTGGATTTTCTGGGTCTCGCGCTCTCTCCCCTCCCTCCCTCCTGTGCTCTCTCTGGTGGCAGCTCATCACCTCCCGGTGCTCATCCTCTGTGCCCTGCACCTGCAGGTGGAGGAGGCCCCTCTGTAGCACCTGGAGAGAAACCCGGGGGAGATCTCTTGGCCGACTCGTGTCTCCGTGTCCCCTTGAACCAGTCTCTGCGGCCGGGGACGCCAAGCGCACTGATTGAGCACTCGGGTCTCATGCCCACCCCTGAGTTAGAAGGAGGGCGAGGGACTGCGCCAGCATGCCCTGCATCCTCCTAAATGGTGTGGGGTGTGCGTAGGGGGGCCTTTGGCACCCAAGGCCCTGACGTACGGCTCAGCTTCCCGGGGCCCGTCTCTCTGTGAGGTCCAGAGGGCATGTGGGGGGTGGCACTGTGCGTAATCAGCCTACCCCCACCCACCTGCAGTCAGCAGGGAGGCCTGCGGAGCAGGTCCCAAAGGCGCTTGTGGGCCTCTAGCCCCGCTCGCCAGAAGCGCCTCGAATCCGACCTCCTCCTCAGGGGCTGAGGTCGGTTCAGGCGCCCGCTCTTCGGCCTTCCCCTCCTTGGCAGCAGGGCTCCCGCTGGTGCTGGCTGTGGCCGTGAGCGGCCCAAGCACCTCCAGCTCCTAGTGCCTGACCCCCGGGACGGGCTGTGCATCCCGATCCTTCTTTACTAGTTTAGCAGGGCCTGGTTAGGCTACACATTGAGAAGAGGATGGGTGGCTGCTTGATCAGAATTATCGAGTCCTGCCACCCTGCAGACGGATCCATCATACCGCTGAGGTTGCCTTTCCAAAACTGTCATCTGATCATGTCACTTCCTCTGCTTTGAAAAATCTTTCCAAGGTTGCAGACACCGGTGGATTTGCTTTGGGAGCCGGAGTAGCTGCTGCCACCAGAGTCTGGAGCCATGAGCGGGTTTAATTTTGGAGGCACTGGGGCCCCCACAGGCGGGTTCACCTTTGGCGCTGCAAAGACAGCAACAACCACGCCTGCTACGGGGTTTTCTTTCTCCACGCCTGGCACCGGCGGGTTTAATTTTGGGACTCCCTCCCAGCCAGCCGCGAGCGCCGCTTCCACCAGCCTGTTCTCACTCACCACCCAGGCTCCGGCGACACAGACCCCAGGATTCAGTTTTGGAACCACAACTCCTACAGCAGGAGCAACCGGGTTTTCCTTAGGGATCAACAGCCCAAAGCTAAACTTGAGTGGCACAGCTGCCACCCCAGCCACGACGCAGCCCAGCGGCTTTGGGCTCGGCGGCAGCACCCTCACCAATGCCATCTCGAGCGCCGTCACGTCAGCCCAGGGCACGGCGCCCACCGGCTTTGTGTTTGGCCCTACCACCGCGTCTGCTGCTCCGTCCACCACACCTGGGGGCTTCTCGTTCACGGGTGGAGGCACGTCCCAGACCGGGACCTCCGGCTTCAACATTGGCTCCATGGGGAGTTCGGCCCAGCCCACGGCCCTCACCGGGCTGCCCTTCACGCCGGCCACGCCAGTGGCCACTGGAGCAGGGGCCACACAGCCGGCTGCTTCCGCACCCACCGCCACTACCGCCAGTGCTGGGCCGTCGCTCTTTGCCTCGCTGGCAAACGCTCCAGTCTCGTCTGCTGCCACCGGGCTCTCCCTTTGTGCCCCAGCCACCACGGCAGGGACGCCCGGAGTGGGGACGTTGGGCTTCAGCCTGAAGGCCCCTGGAGCAGCTTCCACCACCTCCACGGCGACGACCACCACCTCCACCACTGCCACCAGCGGCTTCTCCTTGAATATAAAACCACTGGCTCCAGCTGGGATCCCCAGCAACACAGCGGCCTCCGGGACCGCCCCAGCCGGCCCCAGTGCAGCCACCGGGGTGTCCGCCAGCCCCGTGATGACCTACGCCCAGCTGGAGAGTCTGATCAACAAGTGGAGCCTGGAGCTGGAGGACCAGGAACGGCACTTCTTACAGCAGGCCACGCAGGTCAACGCCTGGGACCGCACGCTGATCGAGAACGGGGAGAAGATCACCACCCTCCACCGCGAGGTCGAGAAGGTGAAGCTGGACCAGAAGAGGCTGGACCAGGAGCTTGACTTCATCCTGTCTCAGCAGAAGGAGCTGGAGGACCTGCTGAGCCCGCTGGAGGAGTCGGTCAAGGAGCAGAGCGGGACGGTGTACCTGCAGCACGCCGACGAGGAGCGAGAGAAGACCTACAAGCTGGCCGAGAACATCGACGCACAGCTGAAGCGCATGGCCCAGGACCTCAAGGACATCATCGAGCATCTGAACACGTCAGGGGGCCCCGCCGACACCAGCGACCCGCTGCAGCAGATCTGCAAGATCCTCAATGCGCATATGGACTCGCTGCAGTGGATCGACCAGAACTCGGCCCTGCTGCAGAGGAAGGTGGAGGAGGCGACCAAGGTGTGTGAGGGCCGCCGCAAGGAGCAGGAGCGCAGCTTCCGCATCACCTTCGACTGAGCCACTGCCCGGAGGGTGCACAGCGGGGCTGGGGACATGCAGTTACTGTCCCGTTTGGGGTTGCAGTGAAATACATGTTTGTTTCTTTCTTTCTTTCAAACAGTCGTGCTGTTGAGAGAACTGTTCTGTGGTTAGACTTTCCACCTTAGCGAATAGAAAGGATTCTCAGAGCTCCGGTCCAGGCAGCAGCCTCGCAGGTGTGGTGTTTGTGTGTCCTAGACTCTCTCCATCTACTACAACCACCCACCTCCAAGAGCTGGAGAAGCACTGAGCTGCCTGAGAACCACTTGTCTCCCAGCCGGGGTGCCACGTGGCCACCCTGTCCAACACACAGTCATAGGTGCAGGGAGAAAAGACTACGGTTGAAGAATCTCCATCCTCAAGGAGCCAGCAGCCTGGTATAAGTGTAACCAGTATAGAGAAGTGACTTGTGAATGGAACGGACGGTGGGACATAGAATTTCAAAGGAGGAGAGATAGGTCAGATGAGGGACTTGAATGAGGTGTTGAGAAAAGAGGTCTCACCTTGCCTGGCTGACACACCTCCTCGTCCTAATCTCCTTATCTCAGGCTTCTCCTCCGGGAAGCCCTCTCAGCCACCCTGAAGCTGGGTCAGGTGGCCGCCCTGCATCCTACGGGCCCCACACCGCACTGAGCTTGCGAGCTCACATCTTCGGTTACACTCGTCACACTGTATTGTGCCGACTGTTTACTTCTGTGCCTCGCCATTAGGTTGTGAGCCCCTGGGGGCAGGGACTGTTTCTTGTTCCCCTTGTGTCACACTTGTCAAACAGGTGAACAGTAGAGATGAAACCAGCATAAAACATTAGTCCACAGGATGCCTGTTAAGTGGCCAGGGTGCCAGAGGTGGCCACAGACTTGATTCTGAACCTCCCAAAGCCAAAGCAAACCTAGTCAGTTGCAGTGAGATAGACCCACGGTGTGCAGAAGGCAGAAGCCAGCCAGCTGTATCCCAGGTGTCTTTTGTATTTGTCTCTACGCTCTGCTGCACTGAAATACCTACGGCTGTCTGTTGCGTTTCTAAATAAAATAAAGTTTATAGTGGAATAAAAAAGCTGCTGTTAATGTGGATAACTTAGAAGAAGGTTGGGAAAAGAGCAGGTTCCAGATCAAGTGGGATGCCATTTGTCTGAAATTCAGAAGCAAGCAAACCTAAATGCACTGCCGAGGCGTGCACACACGTACACACACACATACACGTGTTCACAACGTGGCTTCCTCTGGTGCTGATGGCAGGAGAGGAGCAGGGGGGGAAACCCGTTATAGCTGGGTCATATCTTCCAGTACATGGAAATATCCAGTCATCTGCCACCATCCCCAAGGCGTGTCATCAGCGGCACTCCTCTCCCTGTTACCTGGGGCTGGCCGGAGGGTTCTAGTTGTGCTTCAACAGTGGGCAACAGGTAAAGCTGGGCTGCAGCTTTGTGTCAGGTGATTTCCAGATACTGGCCTGACGTTCTCCCTCTGACCCTGGCCCCTGTAGGCGCTAGTGATGCCGAGCGCTCAGATCTTGCTCCTGGTTCAGGGCGTTGGAAGTCTGCCCTCCAGCCTCCCTCAGCCTGTGCCACACTAAGCCGTGTTTTGGCTAAGGAGGGCCCAAGGACACTGGACATGTATGGGCCAGTTTCCCAAAGTCATGATCATGAGTCATTTCCTCAGGCCATCTTGGGCTTCTAAGAACGACTGTCCCATCCCAGCAGAAGCCATGGAAGAGGGAGGGGAACGAGCTAGAGGAGGGAGACCCCGGCAGCCGCAGTTGCTTCTCTCTGAAGGCTCCGGCCCCTGCAACAGTGGCCCTTTGTGCCATCTGTGAGCCGTGACTTCATCCGGGACCCGTATCTGACTCCCTCACCTAAGCTGAGGAGAGATAGGGAGGCCTTGAGTCCCCTTAGAAAGTAGGAAGTAGTGTTTTACCTACATGTATTCATTCAGCATCCATCTTTGGAGCACCTACTACCTACCAGATCCTGATCTAGCATTGGGGTTTCAAAAATGGAACAACAGGGCTTCCCTGGTGGCACAGTGCAACGTTGAGAGTCCGCCTGCCGATGCAGGGGACACAGGTTCGTGCCCCGGTCTGGGAGGATCCCACATGCCGCGGAGCGGCTGGGCCCGTGAGCCATGGCCGCTGAGCCTGCGTGTCCGGAGCCTGTGCTCCGCAACGGGAGAGGCCCGCGTACTGCAAAAAAAAAAAATAAATGGAACGATAATTCTCTGCGCATGAGGTCACTGGCAGGGGCCACACAATCTCGATAAGAAAAAAGAAATTCCTTGAGCTTGCATTTCCAATGCATATACCTGTTACTTTGCATATTAAACATTAGTGGAGCTTAATTGCTTTCTTATAGTTGTATTTTTTTAAATAAAAACAAATTGAAGTTCTAGTATTTTCCTCCCACACCCCAAGGGATCTCGGCACCCCACTTTGAAGAACACAAGCGATTATAATAATTCGACACAACAGCTGTGTCAGAGTGGGAGCTCCCGTGCTTGGGCACCATGGGGGGAATGGCTCCAGTGGCTTCCTGGGGGAGCCAGGGGCGTTCCCAAGATTGCAATAGGGTCAGCAGCTGACTGGGTACCACCCCGCGGATGCTGGCTTCATTGTAATTGCAGTTTCCCTTTCTAGGAAGAAAACAGATGCATTCCCTTGTCAGTCCAGACAAATGGCCTCTCCTTAAGTTCCTCTTCATTAATTAACATGAAGACAAGCGTGGTGACTAAATTCGCAGTCAGAGGCTTTTAAAGGTGAATCTCTCCCTCAGTAAGCTGTTATGGCATTTCTTCTCCCTGTTTAGGGGTAAGAGTGGCAACTGTGGGTTTATGGTTACGGCTCGCTTTTCATCTCCAAGACACCCTCAAACAACTGCCTCCGTTATGGCCCGGCCCTTTCCCCAGGATGATGCCCCTGCCCCATCTGGCACAGGTGGGGATCAAAGAGTCAGATGTTGGGGCTTCCCTGGTGGCGCAGTGGTTGAGAGTCCGCCTGCCGATCCAGGGGACACGGGTTCGTGCCCCAGTCCGGGAAGATCCCACATGCCGTGGAGCGGCTGGGCCGGTGAGCCACGGCCGCTGAGCCTGCGCGTCCGGAACCTGTGCTCCGCAACGGGAGAGGCCACAACAGTGAGAGGCCCGCGTACCGCCAAAAAAAAAAGGAGTCAGATGTTTGAAACAACCAGAGATTTCCAGAGGTCGAGCAGCCTTGATCTCCAAAGGGAAGTTGAAACAAATGAGTCTCAAGCAGTGGTGTGCTGGTAGCAGTCAGCCCTCCAGGGTCAGGGAAAGCCCTGACCGATAGCATATGCCCATTCCCATGGTGTAAATTCTCCCACTATGGCTGATTTCAAGCCACCAAGATGAAGTCACCAAACACAAATTTGGGAAATTGACACACACTGTGTAGATGCAACTAATTCACCTCAAGAGTATATATATAATAGTAAAAGGTAATCAGATAATTAAGGGATGAATTTTGAGTAAATAAAATTAATAAATAAAATTAATTGTAAATATTTTAATAATGGCTCGCAAAACAAAACCAAAAAAGAGATCCGAAAATTAAATGGTCGGCTCTCGTGAATAGGTGTGAGCCAGCTCCAGCACACCACTGCTCCCAGGGTTTTCAGTCGACCTCAAAATTGCCTTGGTGCTTTAAAAGTCTGCCCTCAGACCAGCAGCTCTCTGCAGAACTTCCCAGGAACAAAATCCCTCACCCTCAGAAGTCAGGTTTGCTTGTGGACACCAGCCAACCCCCAGCCAGACATAGCTGTCCTGAGCCGCCCCTGGGCCTCTCCCACAGCCCTCACACACCTTGGCACTGGTCACTTCACACTCCAGAGACCCACCTGGGCGCTACCCACACCTTACCTCCAGACACCATCCTGGTTCAACCCCATGACCTGCTGAGATTTCCCCGAGGCAGAGCCCAGGTGTGCTGCTCTGCTAGGCTCAGGCCTAGCCTGGGGCCATGGGGCCACATCAGACCCCACCCCTGGGTTATAAGAACATAGACCCCCAAATCCACTGAACTGAAAGTGACACTTCCTGTCAAAGATACTCAGTATCACTCAGGTGCAGTGTGGGCTCTGTGAATGTTGATTCAAACCAACTGTTAAAAGAAAAAAAAGTTTTGATGGGACTTCCCTGGTGGTCCAGTGGTTGAGACTACACGCTACCAGTGCAGGGGACACAGGTTCGATCCCTGGTCGGGGAACTAAGATCCTGCATGCCGCATGGCGTGGCCCAAAGAAAAAAAAAACATGTTTTGAGATAATCAGGGAAGTGTAATCATTGATTTAATATCATTTTTAAATATGATAATGGTATTGGAGTTTTATTTTTGAAAAGGCAAATAAGTTCTTATCTTTTTTTAGTTAATTTGTATTGGAGTATAGTTGATTTACAATGTTGTGTTATTTTCTGTTATACAGCAAAGTGAATCAGTTTTACATATACATAAATCCACTCTTTTAGATTCTATTCACATACGTCATTACAGAGTACTGAGTTCCCTGTGCCATACAGTAGGTCCTTATTAGTTATCTATTTTATATATAGCAGTGTATATATGTCAGTCCCAAACTCCCAATTTATCCCTCCCACCAAGTTCTGTTCTTTTAGCGCAGAGGTTGGCAAACTGTGACCCCACTTCCCGTTTTTGTAAGTAAAGTTTTATTGGAACACAGCCACACCCATCCATTTACATGCTGTGACTGCTGCGAGGACAGAGTTGAGTAGGCGAGGTGGAGACCACGTGGCCCCAAAAGCCTCAGATGTTTATAGAAAAAGTTTGCCAACTTCTGTCTTACAGAAACATCCTCAAGTATTCACCTACAAAAATGATAATATGTCTGGGGTTTGCTGTAAAATAATCAGTGGGGGAGGGAGAAAGTGTAAATGAAACAAGATAGGCTATGAGGCGATGAATGCACCTGGCTTCATCATCCTAGTCTGTTTTTATATATGTTTGAAATTTTCCGTAATAAAAAACTTTCGAGAAGGGGGCATCTGCGCTCCACAGCCTCCCAACTGCTCTGATCCCACACCAGGGCCCTGGCATCTCTGGTCTAACAAGGGAATCGGGACAGAGCCAGCACCACTCAGCCCGGTTTCGCATATGCCCAACGATGACTTCTGTCCCGGGCTAACCAGAAAGGCCATGGGCGCTGAGAGAGCCCGCCAGAGCCAGCCATGCAGTGAGTGCCCCCCCATCAGAGCCCTGGGGTTCTGGAAACTGGGGAAGGAGGGGCAAGGGGGCTCTGAGGGAAGGGGGCCCCTGTCTAGGGGTCAGGCCAGAGATCAGGGCCTCAAGTAGGTCTGTCCTCTGCCCTCTGCACCCCTCCCCATCCAGGTCTGGACCCCCGACTTCTGTCTGGGGCCCTTGGCATCCCCTGGGTAGGCCCTGCCCTCCTCTGAGACTCGGTGAAAGTTTTAATACTGACCACTCAGGGTCTTCGGACTGACTCAGAGGAAAGAATATATATAAGGCACTAGCCCTGTCCGTTGCCCATCTCTGTGGCCAGCATCACTAGTAGCTGCCCTGAGGGGCCACAGAGGGCCCCCCGGGGGGGGCAGGAGCGGGGCCAGGTCTCTGGCTGCTTCAGATGTGACCTAACCCCGTTAGAACTGTCATTGTGGTTCTAGAAGCCAGCCAAATAAGGTAGGGTTTTCTCCCTAGAGACAATTTTTACCTGAAAGGGTTGAAAAAGCCCCAGGTCTTTCCCACCATCTGCCCCCACCCTCAGTTCTCGCTGTGTGTCCTGTATCTCCTACTCACAAGCTTAGGAAACCTAACCTAATCCAAACCACTCTCATGACCCTAAGTCATACCCTAATACCGTAAATTCAACCCTAACACGAATCTCTGATTTTATCAGGAATGAGTCTGGAAGATCCAGTTATTTCTACCAAAGCAACCCCCAAATTACTCATAATCTCTTGACCCCAAAACAACCTTTGGTGTACGGCCTTCCAGCATGTCTTTTCCTGCCAACTGTACCGTGGACCGTATCTGGCCACTCTTGGGTGTTCCACCCAGCATCAACCAAACCCTAAGCTGGGGCGATTCTGCCTCCCCTTCCTCTGGGAATGGTTGGCGATGTCTAGAGACATTTGTAGCTGTTAAGCCTTGAGGGGCAAGTGCTACTGGTATCTAGTGGGTAGAGGCCAGTGATGCTATTCAACATCCTACAATGCACAGGACCTTCCTCACAAAAATGGTCCCAACTGCGTAGCACTGACACGGAGAGCCCCTACCCGGGCCCCATCCCCGGTCCACGAGCCTGAGCTAACCAAGTGTTAGCCATCCTGGAGCCGGGCTGCTGGGATCAAACACAGGTTGTGCCCCTTCTTAGCTGGTGCCTGATCTGGGCCCCAGTTTTCTCCACTGTAAAATGGGGACAGCTCAACCCACCCTGTCAGAGTTGTCACTGGAGTCAATGAAGTAGAACGTGTAGCGTGTCGGGCACGCGGTACTCAGCAGGACCCACCGTCATTTTATCAGCATCCAGGAGGCCGAGCAGGCCTTGCCCTCGTAGCCTCCAAGAGTCCTGCTCGCCTCCCCACCTGACTCTTTGCATGGGGTCTCGGGTAAGGCTGCACGCCTTCCACAGAGTCCAGGGGGTGAACTGGGGGTGTGCCCGGAGCCGGGGGGACTGAACAGAGACCCTGTGCAGGAGAGACCAGGGGGTCAACCCAGGGACCCCAGGAGGGCCCCCCTAGATGCTCTGCGGACCAACACTCCTTGCCCAGACATGCCCTGGGAGCCCCTTGGCTCTGCCCTTTCTGCTTCCATATTCTTGCTGCTCCCTTTCTCTGTGTGGGACATTGCCATGAGGCCGTAGAGCAGAGGGGCCTCTGGGAAGGGGACGGAGTGGGGGCAGGGACCTGGGATCAGGTGGACTCCCAGCTCTGCTGTTTCCCACTGTGGGACCCGGGGCAAGTGCCTTCCCCGCCGCAGGCCAGGTTCCCCTCCCTCACAAGGTGTGTAAGGTCCTGACGAGATGGCACGCCAACCCTCCACGTCATTGTGAATAAAGCAGGCGGGGTCTGTGATGGGAAGGCCTGCCAGCTCTGAGGCCTGTGCAAGTCCTGGGGTCCGCCCCTGCCCAGCCCCTGGCCACCTCTGAGCCTCAGATTCCTCCTCTACCCAGGGCAGAGCTCTGAGCACAGGCCACCTCAGAGAGCGGCAACCCTCCCGCTGCTGGTTTTTGCTGACTCGCGCCCTTGGCTCTCTCTCAGTGTCCAGCTCACTGATTTTGTTTCCTTCTTGGTCACCGCCTTCCCACCCACATCAGATGTTTTCTGACTCACTGGTATGCACCCCCTCCAACCCCGTACCTCCATCAAACCACATCCCTCTTTGATTTACTGTTTGGATTTTCCCAACTGGTTGCTGCAGAGGACCTGCCGCCCTCTGGCTTTTCTCCTTACCACTCGCCTGGTGCTCTCTCCTCCAACCCCAAGAAAAATCCCCAAGATTGCCTCTCCCCACCCCCTTCAAGGGACCCACCATATGTCCCCTTGGCTAAAGTCCCGAAGCCATGAGCCCCGCAGGGGCTCCTTGGAGCCGGGTCACCCGGTTCTCAGCGCAGGGGGGACGGGCTCCTTGTGCAGGGCTGGGGTTGAGGGGGCCTTCACTGAATCCCTCTAGCACCCCCGCAGCGGCAGCAGCTGGCATCTCCTAAGAAGCAGCTTCTAGTACTGACCCGGCTGCTGTTGCCAGGGCCCCGACCTGGATTCACTGCCTATTCCCACCAGCACAGGAGCGGCCCCCCCTTGACAGATGACACCGGAGCCAAAGAGAGGGGAAGGCCTGCTCCAAGTCCCTCCTGGCAGGTGCCAGACTCAGGACCCAGGCAGGCTGGCCCAGAGCTCGTGCCACCGACCACGAGCTGCTGCCTGCGAGTCCCCTGCTGTGCCCGTTTCACTGAGCTCAGAGCGGCCATGTGGCGGGGGCCAGCGAGGGCCCTCCAGAGCACAGGGACGGCTGACACAGAGAAGGACTCAGAGGCTGTCGCAGGACACACGCAGTCCCAAGGCCAGAGGCCGCCTCTCCCCCTGCTCTGAGAATGAAAGAGGCAGAGAGGGCAGAGAAGAGGGCAGACACAGGGGCCCTGCGATCAGATCAGGGGGACCAAGGGCTCGGGCAGGCCAGACTGATTTGCTTCCTCCCGACCCCTTCCCCCGCTGCCGCGCCCCCTCCAGCCTCAACTAGACTCTGAGCATCTGACCCGCCCCCAAGAAAAGGAGTTTCATTTCCCACAGCTCGATTTCCCAAAAGGGAGGGGAGGGCGGGGCTCGGCTCAGTTTAAGGGCCGAGACAGGGGACACGGCAGACAGGTGGAGGGGACAGAGGAGAGATGAGGTGCTAATGCCTGCGGAGGCCGAGGTAGCGAGGAGGCTGCAGAGAGACTGGGCCCCACGGAAACAGACGGGGAGACAGGGCTGAGCAGGGCAGATAAGGGAGAAACAGGGAGACCCAGAGGAGGTGAGAGAAAGGGGGGACAGAGAAGAGAGACAGGAGAGGAGGACAGACAGGTGAGCAGAGACCAGGAGCCGGCTAGCCCGGGATCAGGGGACACACACGTGTAGAGAGACCAGGGCCATAGTGGGGAGGGCTGAGGTGGGCGCGGGGCAGCCCACAGTGGGCCAGGCTGGGGGGGACACAGGCTCCTGTCACAGTGGCCCTGCTTCCCCTCCAACCCAGACAACATCTCCCCCAGAGAGACATGGACTCCTTGGGTAAGTAAGCAGTGGAGGGGGCAGAACCCGCTTTTCTCTCCCCACATACCCGCTGAGCTGCCCGCTGACCCTGTCCTCCTTCCCCCCAGCCTGCCGCCTCCTCGCCCTGGTCCCCATCCTCCTCAGCCTGGCGGCCTCCCTGGACTGGCAAACTGCCCAGAGCCACGACCCCTTCGAGAAGTGTATGCGGGACCCCGACTATGAGCAGCTGCTCAGAGTCCTGACCTTGGGCCTCAATCGGACCTCGAAGCCCCAGAGGGTGACTGTGGTTGGTGCAGGCGTGGCTGGGTTGTTGGCCGCCAAGGTGCTCAGCGATGCTGGACACAAGGTGAGAAGTGCTGCTTGCTGTCTACCTTGAGTCTTTCCTGCTGCGGCTGGGAGTCCTGGGTACAGGGACCTGGCCACGTCCCTGTTGAGGGGTGGGGGTGATGGGAGGCGGAGAGAGGGAGCTATGCTTTCCTTGTGGTCAGGGGAGCGAGGCCTGGAACCCTCTGCTCTAACATGAAACCCAGAGGGAACATGTGTCTGTGCTGAGGGCTTTGACTTTCCCTGCCCCACTCTCATCCTGGAGGAAAGTCCCTTGAAACCTCTTCCAACTTCCTGGGGGGAATTTGTGTTGGTGGAGATGGAAACTCCACACAAGGGGAAGTGCCCCCTGAAGTCTAACCACTGTCCCTCTCACTGAAATCCAAGAATGAGTATGGGCCAGGCCAGTGGCTTCAGTACACACAAGAAATCTCCCCACTCCCTGAGCTGGGAAGTCCCTCTGAAATCTGGCCAGCGGCCTTCCTGCTGCAGTCTGGAAATTGTCACATTGTACATGTTCACTATGACTTTCTGTTCTCCCACCAGCCCCTCCCACCTCCCCATAAAAAAAAGATCCTTCTTTCATCTCCATCTGTGCTGCTGTGGGGATGGAAGATTGGGTGGGTGCGGGGTGGGGGCTGCGACAGGGTGGAGATGGGGAGTCAGTGGGAGGAGCTAAAGCACCTGCTTGCTGCCCATCGTCCCTCAGGTCACCATCCTGGAGGCAGACAACAGGATTGGGGGCCGAATCTTCACCTACCGGGACCGGAAGTCCGGCTGGATTGGGGAGCTGGGAGCCATGCGCATGCCCAGCTCGCACAGGTGGGGCCTGACCTGGGGGCCAGGCAGGCGCAGGGCCACCCCAGCCTCTACCTCTGAGCCCAGTCTCAACCAGATTCCCAACTCAATCACTGCTCCAGTGCCAGCACGAACCTCAACTCTGACCCCAAACCTGGCGCCCCAGTAAAGTCAGGCCTAGACCCAACCTCCAGCTCTGTCCTTTTCCTGACTGACACTTCCGGGCCTCCCGGCTCCAGCCCCACCACTGAACCCCTGAAGTGCTCAGGCCACTGCGTCCAGCCCTTCCAGACCCCCAGCTCTATCTTCCCCGACCCTGGTCCTTTCCCCATCCCCAGCTCCCACCCCCATCCAACACAGCTCTGTCCCCGTTCCTACTTGATCCCCAGTGAAAGCCACCTCCCCCTCCAAACCCAGTCCTGAAGTGCGCCGCCCTCAGCCTTCCAGCCTTGTTCCCCTTTCATTCCCGTCCCTGGCACTGAGGACCCCCAGTCTAGCCCGGCTCCAGCCTCATGCCCAGCCCCAAGCCCCGTCCCCAGCTGCCCCACCCCCCCCTTCCCTTCTCCAAGCCCCACTGGGGAGAGGGGCCCTCACCTCCCCCGCCCGACCCTCACCAGCGGCTCCCACTCCCTCAGGATCCTCCATGCGCTCTGCAAGAGCCTGGGACTCAATCTGACCAAATTCACCCAGTACGACGAGAACACGTGGACGGAAGTGAATGAGGTGAAGCTGCGGAACTACGTGGTGGAGAAGATGCCTGAGAAGCTGGGCTACAAGCTGCATCCCAAGGAGAAGGGCCACTCGCCCGAAGAAATCTACCAGATGGCTCTCAACAGGGTAGGCGTGTCCGCGAGCCCTGCAGCCCTGTCCCCCTGCCCCTGTCCTCCACGCTGTGGTGTCCCATGCCCTTTCCTCCTCCTGGCCTAGCTTTCCTTTTCCCATTCCTTCTGGTTTCCCATCACTGGCTCTTCCATCTTTAGTTTCCCCATAAGCCCTGCTGATCCCCATCTCCCATCCCCTTCTCACTCACACACTGGCCAGAACAACCTCACCTTTCTACACCTTAGGGGTTTTCTGTTGGTTTGTTTTGGGTTTTTTTAGGCTGCGTCATTCGGCCCGTGGGATGTGGGATCTTAGTTCCCCGACTAGGGATTGAATCCATGACCCCTGCATTGGGAGCTCAGAGTCTTAACCACTGGACCGCCAGGGAAGTCCCTCTACACCTTTGGTTTAAACTATGATCTGTGGGCTTGTTTTCCAAGTCCATCTCCTGAGACCCAGACCTATGTCTGTCTCCCCCTGGCCATCCCCCAGGACCCTCCAGCTCCCACTGAGCTCGGCGGCAGCTTCCCTGAACCCACTCGGATTCCTGGGTTCCCCATCTCACAACAGTGCCATCATCACCACCCCCAGTCACGAAGCAGAACTCCAGGGGCCATCCTTGCTTCCTGCCTTCCCTGTCAGGTCCCAGCTCCATCCGTCCTGCCCTCGACTGTCTCACACTGTTCCTACCTCTCTGTCCCCCCAGCTCCAGCCCCAGCTCAGGCCTGGACCTCTCCCTGCATCCTCACCCTGGCCCACCCTGCTCACAGCCCCCTGTGCTCCCTAGCACCTCAGCCTCAGTTTGAAGCCCTGAGCAGTCTGGTCTCTCCCACTCCTTTAGCCCCATCTTCTCTCCAAGAAATTTTTATTGCCCACCCCAAACTCTCATGGTGGCCCAAACACCTTCGGCTCTGTACTCCTTTGTTTGCACTATGCTTGTCCACCGTCCCACACCCATGCCACTGACCCTGCCTGGAAGGCCTTTTCCTTTTCCCACCCAGGGAACCCTTTTCATCCCTCAAGAACCAGCTCCAGTGTCCCCTCCTCCAGGCAGCCTTCCCTGATGCCCTCAGGGAGGAGCCAGCCTAAGCCTCCTATGGGAGCTCCTAATTGTCCATCTCCTCTCGTGGACCAGGGTGGGCACTTAGTCCAGGCCACTTCTGTGCCCTGGCAGTGCCCAGTTTAAGGAGCCTAGGGAAATGTGAGGGGAAGGGTGAGTGAGTGAGTGAGTGAGTGAAGGGACACCTCCTTTGGGGAGTTCCCTGGCCACAAGAGAGAAGCCAGGTGGACAAAGGAGAGGGCTGAAAACAGAGGGCAGCGAGGCTTCCGGGAGGGGATGAGGCTTGAACAAAGTGGTGAATGATGACCAGTTGGGTGCCCGGCAAAGATGAGGGGGGTGAGCAGGTGCAGGGGCGTGGAGGTGGGGGAGACCCGAGGGTGGTCTGGGCACTGGACACTGTGCTGTAGACCTGAAGCTGCCCTAAAAGATGGTGACCGAGGGGCTGGCAGGGGCCTTGAACGGCAGGCTGAGGGCTGGAACTCTGCGGCTCCAGGCACTGGGGAGCCACAGAAGGCTGTGGGCAGGCGAGGCGCCGTGAACAAACCCCCGTGAGCAGTCATGCCCTGTCAGGGCTGATGGGTGGGTGGCAGAAGGGACTCCACTTCCGTCTGCGCCCACAACGATCCAGGCGACAGATAATTACCGTCCATAAGGACACAGCGCTGACTGAGACAAATAATTACTGTCCATAAGGACACAGCGCATGGAGCGCACAGGCTGGGACAGAGGCAGACAAAATAACACCCAACCAGGATGAGTGTGACATTGTCCGGTGGACCGAACGCCCGGGGAATGAGGGGTAGGAATGACTCAGGAGGACTTCCCAGGGTAGTGACATAGTTGCAGTGGAGGGCAAGGCTGAGGGCCGAGCACGGGCAACATCCTGGCAGCTTGAACAAGAGAGGTAAATGGCCGGCCGTGGGCAGGAGCAGGAAGAGAAGCCAGGTTTGGACCCCAGGTGGGGCCTCCCCGGTCCTGTCCCCACAGCTCAGCGCCACTGCTTGTCCCTCCACAGGCCATCGAAGATCTCAGGACACTGGGCTGCAGAAAGGCAATGATGAAGTTTGAAAGGCACACGCTCCTGGTGAGTGAGGGCCTCGGTGTCGCTGTCTGAGAAACGACGACAAGGAGGGTGTCCATGGGGCCTTGGGCGGGGAGTCAGAAGGCAGGAAACTGGGACCCCAGGCCTGCCACCTACTCCCTGCCTGACGGGGCTGGACACGCCCCTCTTGGGGCTTCGGTTTCCCTCATCTGTCACAAGGTGGGGGGGGCCGTATTGCTGAGGTCCAGGGAACCGCACTAAGCACGGCTGTGTCACTGAACTAAGTAAGAGGCTCCGCAGGGAGCGGCCCCGTGGGAGGGGGTACGGAGCCGGCAGGTGCAGCCTGCCTGGGCCCTGACCTGGGTGGGCCACGCCATCCCCCAGGAATACCTCCTCGGGGAGGGGAACCTGAGCCAGCCTGCCGTTCGGCTCCTGGGAGACGTGATGTCCAAGGACGGCTTCTTCTATCTCAGCTTCGCTGAGGCCCTGCGGGCTCACAGCTGCCTCAGCGACCGGCTCCGGTGAGGCGGCGGGCTGGACAGACGCCGGGGGCCGATGGGGCGAGTACGGAGTGGGCGGGGCTGGCGGGGTGGGCGTGGCCTGTAGAGATGGGGGCAGGGGCCCAGGGGGCGGAGAGAGGCGCGCTGGGTCCCGCCACACTCGCCCCCGCATCCCGGTTCCTCCAGGGGAAGAAAGGTACCTGGAGAGTGGCGTGGCCCTGAGGGGACAAGGCGGGGTTCCCGGGTCACACCGCTCTGCTCCCGGGCCTCGGGGGCCATCGGGGACTGACGAGGGCGGGGGTAGATGAAGGGGTGGGATTAGAGGCAACCGGCAAGTGAGAACTGGAGCGGGGAGCGGGGAGTGTCTGGGGAGGGGCCGCTGCGGAGATGCAGGGCCCGAGAGCCCGTCACGCACCCGCCCCGCCGCAGGTACAGCCGTATCGCGGGCGGCTGGGACCTGTTGCCGCGTGCGCTGCTGAGCTCGCTGTCGGGGCCTGTGCTGCTGCACACGCCCGTCGTGGCGATTAAGCAGGGGACGCACGAGGTGACCGTGTACTTCGAGCCCTCGCGCCGGGCCCGGAATCTGAAGTCCTTGACGGCCGACGTGGTGCTGCTGACGGTGAGCGGGCCCGCGCTGCAGCGCATCACCTTCACGCCGCCGCTGACGCTCAAGTGGCAGGAGGCGGTGCGCGCGCTGCATTACATGCCGGCCACCAAGGTGTTCCTGAGCTTCCGCCGGCCCTTCTGGCACGACGAGCATATCGAAGGCGGCCACTCGAGCACCGACCGACCGTCGCGCGTGATATTCTATCCGCCGCCTGGCGAGGGCGCGCTGCTGCTCGCCTCGTACACGTGGTCGGACGCGGCTGCCACGTTCGCTGGCCTGAGCCTGTCCGAAGCCCTGCGCTTGGCGCTCGACGACGTGGCGGCGCTTCACGGGCCCATCGTGTACCGGCTCTGGGACGGCAGCGGCATCGTCAAGCGCTGGGCGGAGGACCCGCACAGCCAGGGCGGCTTCGTGGTGCAGCCCCCGATGCTCTGGCGAACCGACAAGGACGAGGGTCACGAGTACGATTGGGTGGTCCCCCACGGCCGCATTTACTTCGCCGGCGAGCACACGGCCTACCCGCACGGCTGGGTGGAGACGGCCGTCAAGTCGGCACTGCGGGCCGCGGTCTTGATCAACGGCCGGACCAGCAGCTGGAACGACCCCCGGACCATCAACAGCATGGGGCATGTGCACGTGGCGCCCGCCCACCACCACCCGCGCAGCCTCGAAAGGGGGCGGGGCACCCACTCTCCAGCCTTACATGCCGTCACCGCTCCGCACACGACCCAAAAGAGGACCCAATATTAAAGTATTTTTGGAAACAGCAGTGTGGTCCCGCCCCCTCCCTGGCTCAGTCGCTTCCCCAATTTGCAGGGAGCAAAACCATTAGCCCTCGCGGTAGAAGGGGCTGCGCCTATCCTGGAGCCCCAGAAGCTGTCCTACTTCTTCCTGGGCCGCGGGCTCCGTTTGGGGGAGTAGGAGGTACAGGATGGACACTGCTTTGCGCCACTGGTAAACGTTAATCACAGTGCCCACAACGGCTGTCACGACACAGTGGGATCCTTAAGCAAGTAACAAAAAGCCCAGCCGACACTGGGTTAAACACGAGTTTATTTTTCTCATAACAAGAAGCTGGTAAGTAGGGCCCCAGAGGGAACAGCCCCGCAGGCCCTTCCATCTCGGTTATGTCCGGGATGTGCCCCTGCACCCCATCCTCACTCCTCCAAAAGCCCCAGACTCAAGCAGGTAAGGGAGCCCTGCCTCCACAAACCGCCACCACTCACCCCCAAGGGGCCTCGTCTTAGGCCTCACTGGCCAGGTCAGGGTCACAGTGGTCAGACGTCGACTCTGCAGAGTGGTCAGAGGAGACCACGAGTCACCACCCCCTCTCGATCCAGAGCCAAGCCGGTGTGGTGGCCTCCCCGCTCCACCTACTCGAGGCCAACCAGATAGGAAAGTGTCAGTTTCAAGAAACCAGCTAAGAGAAGGGAGGCCTGGTGGAGAGCCCCGCCCCTCTTTGCGCCTCCCCTCCCCAGCATCCGGGAGGGGCGGGGTCGTGGGAGGGAGCTGGATAAAGTGTCTGGTGCTGAGCAGGCCGCCTCGCCCAGCACGGTTAAGAGTCCGCACATTCCTCCTCCTCCTCCTCCTCCGGCAGGATTTCCAGGCTGCTGTCAGGCTGCGGGACTGTGTCCGCGGGGGGCGGCGGAGCCGGTGGGGCGCGGGTGGGCGACAGCGGCAGTGGGGAGGCAGGTGGCGATGGGCTCTGGGGCTCTGCGGGAGGCGCCAGGCCTAGGATCTCCTGCACGTTGTGGGGCAGCTCCTGGCGGGTTGGCGGGTAGGGAGCGAGAAGTCAGAGGTTTGCTGGGGGTTGGGGGGCTATCGGGAGGGGTCAGGGACTCACCCGGCAGGCGGTCAGCTGCCGGTAGAGGGCCTCGGCCCGCGTCAGCACGTCCTCCACGCTCAGCTTCATGGTCAGCTCGTTGATGTGCTGCGGGCGGGGGTGGGTCAGGCCTGCCTGCCTGCAAGCACCCAGCCACCACCGCCCCAGCACCTACTCTGTGCCTCGTGCTGGGGTACAACTGAGGGAAGACAGACCGGGCTGGCCCTCTTGGGGCTCACAGTGGAGCTGGGGGATCAGGAGAGGTCATGTTCTCTCCGGCTGCTTGCCAGGTGCAGTATTCAAGGAAGAAAAAGGGCACCGAGCCCCACTGCCGCGGCCCCGCCCCACATTAATGCACTGGGGCAGGGGCAGGTGGCCCACTCATGCATGGGCCACATGCTCTGTGAGGACACTGCAGGAAGCCAGGGATAATGGGGTAGGAGACAGACAGACCCCGTCTCCTGGCCACCGTGCTCACAGCTTAGCCAATCATACTTTCCACAATCCTATTTTGAGTACCTACTACCGAAAGGTACTGTGGCACAGGGGCAGGGCCAGCCTCCACGGAGTTCACACCCAGGTGATGTGTCTTCTCCACACAGGTCAGGATGGGCAGGGGGAGGGAGGGGACTGGGAGGGAGCCAGGGTCTCACCTTGAGGATCTCATTGGACCCGAAGCCTGAAAGCATGAGGGTGTCCCGCTCCATGTCCAGGATGGCGCAGGCCACCAGCAGGTGCAGATTGGGGCCAGGGAGCCCCGTCCACAGCACCTAGCAGTGCCCAGGGGAGGGGTCACTGCAAAGCCTCTGCCTCAGGTCCCACCCAGGTCTGCCCCACGCCCTGCCCACCTCCCACCAACCTCCCTGCCCCATCCACTGGCAGTACAGCCAATCCATTTCTCCTTCTCGGCCCTCCCACCCCAACTGGCTGGCTCACCTCCCACAGCCGAAGGACATCCGGGAAGGGGAATTCCCTCTTGAACCAGATAAGCAGCCACCGGAAGCAAAAGCAGAGAGAGCCAGAGTCCTGGGAGTCTAGGGGAGGACAGCGGTGGGAGGGGCGGCACTCAGCTGAGAGCAAGCTCAGAATCAACTCCAATCCCGCTCTAATTCACAGGGCGCCCGGGGGTCGGACTGGACTCTAAGAAGTCACCCTGGCTGTAAGAACCCACACGAGTCTACACAAGTGGAGGGACAGCTTCAGAGCGGGGACAGGGACGCTCAGCGCCAGCAGGAACCTTCCCATCCTGCCATCCGGGCTCCAGATGAGGTGAGCTAGCCCCGTGGTCTCTGCTCTCATGTGCAAGGGAGGCAGTAAGACCAGTCCACTCAGGGAAAAAATCTATTCAACATCCAAAGCTGGGGGAGGTGTGAGGAAACTGGCCCTCGTGTACACTGCTAGCAAAAACGTAAGCTGGTAGAACTTTCTGGGAAAGCAGTGATGAAGACAAATGTTTCAAAAGATGTAAAAATATGTACTGCACTGGATACAATATCAGTTCTTGGAATTTAACCTAAAAAACTAATCCACGAATATAGATTCATCACGGTGAAAAACTACAAATAACCTAAAAGTCCAGCAGGTCAGGTTAAATCTATTCTTATACATCATTAAGATGGACAGAACACCATGTAGTCGATAAGACTGATGATGTAGGGCTTCCCTGGTGGCTCAGTGGTTGGGAACCTGCCTGTCAATGCAGGGGACACGCCAGGGGACACGGGTTCGAGCCCTGGTCCAGAAAGATCCCACATGCCGCAGAACAACTAAGCCCGTGCACCACAACTACTGAGCCTGCACTCTAGAGCCCACATGCCACAACTACTGAACCCGCGTGCCACAACTACTGAAGCCCACGCACCTAGAGCCTGTGCTCTGCAACAAAAGAAGCAATGAGAAGCCCCGCACACCACAATGAAGAGTAGCCCCCAGGGGCTTCCCTGGTGGTGCAGTGGTTGAGAATCTGCCTGCCAGTGCAGGAGACACAGGTTCGAGCCCTGGTCTGGGAAGATCCCACATGCCACGGAGCAACTGGACCCGTGAGCCACAGCTACTGAGCCTGTGCGTCTGGACCCTGTGCTCCGCAACAAGAGAGGCCGCGACAGTGAGAGGCTGCACACCGCGATGAGTGGCCCCCGCTTGCCACAACTACAGAAAGCTCTCGCACAGAAACGAAGACCCAACACAGCCAAAAAATCAATCAATTTTAAAAAAACTGTTAAAAAAAAAAAGAGTAGCCCCCATTCGCCACAACTAGAGAAAGCCCGCACACAGCAACGAAGACCCAACACAGCCAAAAATAAAAAATAAATTAGCTTATCAACATCTGCATTCAAAAAAATAGTACGAGCAACAGCAACTTTAACTTTCTTTTCTTTACATGAATTCCCTGCATTTTTTATATCGAACAATCAATGCAGTCAAATTTAAAAGCTGAAATGCAGCAGTCCCCGCCCCAGCAGCCCAGAGAACCAGTTTCCAATCCAGGCTCAGGGGTGACTGGAGATGAGAGCTGGTTGGAGATGAGGAGTGTGAGGAGCTGCGCCCAGGTCCTTCGTCTGAAAAGTCTGACAGCACACGAAGGAGCCACCTCAGCAGGCAGCAGGGGCGCGTTTGGCAGGGGTAGGGGGCCCACGTCTGCATTTGTTGAGGTTTTGCTCCAAACCGCAGTCCTGCTTTTACATATCAATTCTGGGTTCTGTGGGGATGTTTCTCTTGTTTGCACCACGTCCAAACATCCTGGACATTGTCTGTGGCCACCCCCAGAGACTCTGCAGCAAGGTGTGTGGGCCCACCATCATCCCCTGCCTACCCGCCGAGACACGTACCCAGGAAGTCGCAGAGCGGAGGGTCCAGCACCCTCAAGAGGAGCAGGAGTTGCCCGAGTTGCCGCTTCATCGTCTCCTGACTCTCCTCAAAGTTCCCATGCTGTGGGAGGGAGGGCCACGTGAGGAGCCAGACCCCAGCTTTTGAGGGGGCCTGTCTCCCAGCCCTGCCGAGCCTCACCACGAGCTCCATGAAGCCACAGAAACACCAGAAGGCATCCACCTCGTTCTGAGTGACGTAGAGGATCGGGGAGAGAAGGTCACTCATGCCCTGGACGTAGCCTGGGGGGACATGGGGTCAGGGCCCAGCCGAGGCCTGCAGCGTGCTCCCCCCACAAGGCCAGCCCCAAGCAACTGCCCCCGGGCTGTGCCGCACCAAGGTCAAAGTGGTACATGCAGTAGGTAAGGAGGATGTCATTCAGCAGGCCCAGCCCCGGGTTCTCGGGGCCCTCGTAGAATTTGTTGTTCCTATCGGTGCGGCTCACATCTCTCTCTGTGGGGACAGGGGGCAAAGCGCAAAGGCGTGAAAGGTGAGCCCTGTCCCTGCCGGCCGGCCGCCAGCACACCTAGGCAGGTGTGGGTCATCCAGAAACCATCTTGAACGCTCTCACGTGAGGTGCCGTGCTTCACGCTCACCAGCTCGCCACACTCTCCCAGCAACTGACAGTTACTAAACCATCAACAGATGGGGAGACTGAGGCCCAGGGAGGTAGAATCACTTGCCAAGATCCCACAGTGAGTAGGTGGTAGATTTGAACCCACGGAGCCTGGCTCCCCTCCCGTGCTCCCCCATCCCCGACCCCAGGGCCACTCACCCCTGCTCACCCCTGTCTCACTCCCCTCCATCCCTACAGATGGCCTTGCTCCTGCTCTTAGGGAGACAGGGGGCTCCCTCGGGCCCCTCCCGGCTGTTTCTGGTCTCACCATCCCACCCTTGCCCCCCACCAACCAATGAGGCTGCGGTATCCGCGCAGCAGTGAGTTCCTCCGCTCCTGCTCCGGGCTCACAGATTTCCACTGCAGCTTCATTCGGAAATACTCGTCCCTGAGGGGAGCAGAGGGGGTGACATGTAGGGACACCCCCTGCCGCCTCATCCTACAGGGCTCAGCCTAGCTCACCGCCCCTGTGCTTCCCCTTCCCCACATCTCTCATGACACACAACACCCTTGTGGGGTTTTTTTGCTGTTGTTCAAAGTCTGTCACCCCCATTGGACAGAGAGCAGCAGGGGCAGGGACCGGGACACACGGCAGAGGCACAAGATATACCAGGAACGACGAGAGGTGGCCCCATGGGGTTAGGAAGCCCGCTGCAAAGCGGTGACCACTGAAACAGCACGGCGCCAGAATGAAAACGGCATCGGGGATGGGCTCTGGGCCCTACAGGGGCAGGGCCTGGCCCACTGCCTCTGTCCCCGCTGTGCTCAGGTCGATGGCCCGTCTGTGCACGCGTAGCGCGCCGGTGCCGGGCCGCCCACTGGGATATGCTGTTGATCAAAAACCTCCAGTCGACTCAGGAGGCCAGAGGCTGGAGCGCAGCAGGGCAGGAGCCACGGCGTCTCACTCACGTTTTCTTGCGCACGTGGGCCTTGTGCTCCTCGGCTGAGCCCTCCCAGCTCAGGTACCCGAGGAGGAACTTCCAGGCCTCGCGTCGCAGGCTGGGGCTCAGACCCTGGAGGGCAGAGGGCAGCTCAGACGGGCCTCCCCTTGGCTGCCCACCGACCCTGCCCACCCGCTCGGCTCCTCACCCCTGAGAAGATGCGGGCTTTCAGCTCAGGGACCTGCTGCAGGCGGCCCTCAGGGCCCATGCGGCGGGCCCACTCCTCCTCCGTGACCGGAGGCGCCCGCTCCACAGCCGGCCTCGGCCCTAGCTCCACCTGGGGGACACAGGACGAGTGAGCCCAGGGCCTCGGCCCAACAGCGCTCCCCAGCCCACCGTGGGCCACTCTGAGTCAGCTCAGAGCCCTTCTAAGCTGCACGGACGGACAGAACGTTTGGGGCAGGAAGCATCTCCTTGGCTGGGTCAGTGAAAAAGTCACCCCCCAAGTCAGGAAAGCCCCCCAGTAATAGTAGGCACCAGGTGCACAGGCTACAAGCACCTTCCACCAAGTCACTCATGATACCCGATGAGGGCGGTGCTGTTATTATCCCCATCTCACTGGGGAAACAGAGGCCCAGGGAAATGCAGTCCCATGCCCACGGTGACCGCCAAAGAGCAGCAGCATCCACCCTGATACTCACACAGGAAATGACCTCAAACCCGGGCTCAGGTTCGTCATCGGGGGCTGGAGGCAGGTCAGGGGAGGCCCCCTCCTGGTGCGGCTGCAGGGCTCCCCGGAAGAAGTTGGTCACACGGGAGAAACTGCTGAAGGTGGTGGAGTAGGGGTCCTGGAAGAAGCGCTGGGGACAGGGCCGAGGGGCGGTCACTGTCCATCCTCCCTGCCTGGCCTGCACGGCCCGCCCTTCCCTGCCCACACCGGCCAGCCTGGCGCTGGGGACTCACAGACACCACGTTGGAGCTGTCCTGGTCAAACAGCTGGAGGTGGTGGAAGGAGTTGGAGAGGGCCGAGGAGTCATGGGGGAAGACAAGGTAGAGGCGGGAGTCCTGCGGGGAGCTGTGGGCAGGGCATCTGGGTGACACACAGGCAGGGTGCCCACTTTTTTCTTTTTTTCTCAGTGTCCCGACTGCCCATGGGGAATCCCTCATCTCAGGCCTGAGACCCCAGCTGGACCCCAGGGATGGCAGAGGCCCCAGGGCTGGTCAACAAGGGCCTTCCACCTCCCTGGCCAGGGTGACTGACTCAGGGACAGGCCAACGAGAAGCAGCCCCAAGATGCTGCTGGAATGTGGGAAAGAGGTGCTTTCTACCCACCGGGGCCCCCAGAGAATGACAGCAAACTCAGAAAGAAAAAGAGCAACTCTTTCTGCACTCTGGGACCCGGGTCCCACCTGATGTCAAACTGCCCTTTGATGTTGCAGTTACACGCGCCACTCAAGTCTCTATTTCCTGCCTTTAAATCAGTCTGGGTTGTATTACTTTCACAGCCCTGAGGGAGTCAGGCTGCATCCCTGGAGGGGTGGGGCCTGGGACAAGGCTCACCTGGCCAACAGCAGGTAACGGCTGAGGACACGGAGCAGGGCGCGGGTGCCCCCGCGGTGGAAGTGCAGGGCGGGCAGGGAGCCTCCGGCCTGCGTGACCAGGACCAGGTATGCCCAGCTGAGGCCCGGCTTGGAACGGCGGATGGACTTGAGCTCCCCCAGACTCACGGAGAAGGCCCAGGATCCCCGGGGGGAGCTGGGCTCTGCACCTAGGGGGACAGCAGCGTCGGGAGCAGGTGGGGGTCGGGAGGCGGGGGCGTGTGGAGTCAGAGGTGGCTCAGGCATCTCCTGAGAGCCCACTGCGAGCCAGCCCCAGGCCCTCTGGGAAAGGAACCCAGTAAAACTGGAGGGGAGCCTGGGGGATGCCTGCCTGCCCCCAAATCTCCCCAGGCTCCCCACGTCTGTCCCCTGCCCGCCCCAACCCTGCCAGTCTCACCTCTGACCCTCTCTTCACTCTAGACCCCTCTCAAGCCACAGCAAAAAGGCTGTGGTTTCCTAAACACACCCAGTGCCCCACACCTCTGGCCTTACCCCCGCTGCTCTCTCTGCAGGGAGAGAAAACTCTCAAGCATCCTTCAGAGCTAGGCTGTGGCACCACCTCTTCCTGGAAGACTTCTCTGCCCCCTAGGGGGTTAGATACCTCCTCTGGTGCCCCCAGCACCCTGTGCGACTCCAGGATGGCCCGAATTACCCTGTCACCCTGCAACCGTCACCGCCACAGCCTGGAAAATTCCATGGGCAGGACTTACGTGGACGTGCCCACAGCCAATCAGGGAGCCCGGCCTGATGAGCAAGGCTGCAAACCTCAGAGACGCTGGCCACACTGGACCGGGGCTGGGGACCGCCCTGCACCCCCCACCCACTCTCCTGGGACTGGAGGCCACTGTGGGTGGCCATCTTGACTGTGGGCAGCACAGCCCACGGAGCCATGACCACTGAGGGTAAGTTGTGTCTCCGCCTGCCCCCCCCCAGGGGCAACAGCTTAGTCTACCTCTCGTGGGCTCTGAGTGGCGGTGCCGTGGCCGCACGGTGCTGATGACGGCCCAGTCGGGTTCATAGCCGGGGTCAAAGGTTGGTTCCTCCTCAGAGGTGCAGGAGTCTCCCCCACTGGTGTCCTTGGGGGAAGACAGGAAAACAGACTGAGGGACTGTGGATTCAGTGTTTCCAGATCTGAGCCTCGAGGCCACCCTGGGAGGTAGCCCCATTGAACAAAGAGGGAAACTGAGGCACAAAGAGGGCACAGCACTTGCTCTCAGGGTCGGTCACCCAATGCAGCCAGGGAATGGGCCAGGACTTGAAGCCAAGTCTCACGGTGGCTGTAACCAAAGCATCCCCACATAAAAAGCAGACAGCTAGGTAGGGGTTGGGGTGCTTTGCAGTCAGACTGCCAGAGGTCGCTGTGCTTAAAATAAGTAGGTAGGAGTTACTAGAGTAACTCAAATCAGGACCAAATCAGATATGACTTCACACCCACTAGAATAGCTAGAATAAAAAAAGAGGCCATAGCAAGTGTTGGTGAGGATGTGGAGAAACTGGAACCTCTTACACTGCTGGTAGAATTGTAAGATGGTGCAGCCACTGTAGAAAACAGTCTGGCAGGTCCTCAAAAGGTTAAACGTGGAATTACCATATGACCCAGCAATTCCGCTCCTAGGTATACACCCCAGAGAAATAAACATGAACACCCACACAAAGACCTACACATGAACGTTCACAGCAGCATTATTCGTGACTGTCAAGAAGTGGAAACAACCCACTGTCCATCAAACTGATGAATTAACAAAATGGGTAGATCCATACAATAGAATTTTATTCAGCAATAAAAAGGAAGGACGTTCCGATAGATGCTACAATATGGATGAACCTTGAAAGCAACTTAAATAAAAGAAGCCAGTCACGAAGAACCACATAGAGTATGATTTCATTTATATGAAATATCCAGAAAAGGCAAATTTATAGAGACAGAAAGCAGGTTAGTGGTTGCCAGGAGCTGCAGGAGGGGAGTACAGGTACAGGGTTTCTTTCAGGGATGACGAAATGTTCCAGAATCACACAGTGGTGATGGTTGCAAATGTGTGTGAATACTAAAAACCACTGAATTACGCACTTTGACAATTTTAAGTTTTCATAAAGCTTGAATTTTTTTGAGTCTGATGGTAAGTGAATTCTATCTGATTAAAAGAAAAAAATAGCTGGCTCGTATTGTTATGAAAATAACATGAAGTGCCCAGCATGGGGCCAGCTGGTGGCTGCTTTTATTGACATGAGCTCAGGGGCCTGTTGGGCAGATTCAGGGAAACCATGCAGAGCAGGGCCATGCTGAGGGCCAGAGTGCAGTAAAAGCCAATGATGCTGGCCATGAGCCATGGAGGAGGGCAGGGAGGGGACAAAATGTGTGAGGATTGCAGCAACTGTGAGAGAATTCACAGCTCATGTGTCTTCTTCCTCTATGGGAAAGGCTAGAAAGGTAAAACATTTCCCAGGCTCCCCTGAAGTTGCGTTCCAGGCACAAGAGCCTACCAGTCAGATGCACTCAGATCTACAAAGTGGAAATTGGATAAGGGCAACTTCCTGCCACTCTGGCTGGTGTTTGGCTGACAAGGAAAAAGGAGGAGTCTTATCTCTGTCTTCATCTTCCTGCACACAGAGCGGTAACTGGGGTAGCAGTGGGGCCGATTAGCAGCTCTGATGGTAGTATTCTCGAACTTGACAACTCCAATGACAGTCCCATTCCCTACAGCCCTGCCCTCACTGGATCGCAGCTCCCCTGGCAGGTCAGTTCTGCAGTGTCAGTCCTATTCCTCTAGCTTTTGTAAAAATTCTATAAGCCTCCACGTCTTTGCATTTAACCCCTTGCTGCTTAAAGTAACTGGAGTGTTTTGTGACTCTTGCAGTAAAACCCTGCATGATTAGAAGGACTCAGACTGTGGGTCTACCCAACAGCCATTTCTGCTGGATATTCCAGACTGACAAGCCACTCCCACAACAGAAGCTGAAATATCCCAATATCCACTTTCCCAGCCTTCCCTGCATTTCTGAATGGCCTAGGGACCCAACTCTGGCCAGTGGAAGCTGAGGGTACATCCGCGGGGAGTTTGAAGAAGGGAATTCCTGATAAAAAGGCACCTACAGGAGTGAACACCCTATTCAGGTTAGCCTCTATGTGCTGTCAAGGGAGGACATGGTGTTTGGAACTGTGGCAGCCAACCAGGGCCATGAAAGGAAGACCAAGGAATGGCAGGGACACCTGTCCACAAGCTGCCAAACCAGCCCCTGGCAAAGCCATCTGTGCCCTCCCTGTTTTGTGACATGAAGAATTTGATAATTTTGCCAGTGTTTACACAAAATAATGATAATTAGTGTGCTGTTTGTCAAATGTTTGCAGCTCTCCACCCCTCGGGCATACAGTAGGATTACAGCTCATTGAACTCTACTGGCTGAGTGGAGACATGCAACTCGTTCTGGCCAAACGGCTGGGATATATCACTTCCAAGATGGACTGTTTAACTGCCAGGGAAAAACTTCTAGAGATCTCTTTCCCTCTGCCACAAGGAATGAGACCTTTAAGATGCTGGCTGCTCTAGCAGCATGCTTCCTTGAATAATCATGATGAGCACAGCTCTTTTGCCAACCTGAGATACACATATAGAGTGAACAAAAACAGTTAAAAAGGCTGGAGCTCCAGCAGCCCTTCTGGACCAGAAGGCAGCCTTAAGGACAGATGCCACATGTTGAGGATTACAGAGCAAAGTTGGAAGGAAGCTGAGTCATTGATAACATATGAACCTATACTGCTGACTTCTGGGCTTTGTAAAAAGAGAGAAATGAGCTGTTATCTTGTTTAGGTCGCTGGTATTCCTGTTTCTATTACATACAACCAAATGCAACTCCTAACTGACGCAAAGCTTTCTGGAAAACCTCTTGTTTTTACTGATAAAAAGGACAGATATGATTGGTACCCTGCTGGCCCCTTTTTCCTGCCTTAAAAGGCAGATGCAATGGCTGCAGCTGAAGTGGTCATTTAAACACCACTAGAGCAAGCACAGTAGGCTCTCAGCAATCCAAGCCTTGATGTCACTAACCAAGGACAGCAGCCTCATACCTTTTGGAGTCTTATGAGGTAAAAGAAACAAACTTGTTTGCTCACTGTGTTGTCAGCTCAGTTTTGTGTTCCTTGGAGCTGAATGTATCCTGAATTTATATGTGTCCTTCCCATTGATGCCCGTCTCAGTGGGTTTCTGTTATTTGAAAATAAGAGCGCCAAGGAGGACAGCAATATTCTCAAGAAAGGCACTCAGACTGCCTGTGAGGTTGGTGAAAATGCAAAATCCTGGTTGCTGCTACTTCAACTTCTATAGGGGAGGAATCTCCATTTGAAACCCCATGGCCCCAGCTGAGGCTTCATCCTCTCTTCCTGGCCCGTCACACTGGCCTCCTCCCCGACCTCCCAGCCCCCAATCTCCCTCCACCTGGTCCTTCCGTCCATCTCCCACATGACCCCACAGATGGGGCTTTCCATACCCATACCTTTCCCCTCCCAAGGCTAACCTTGGCCCCCAGGACAGGGTCCAAGCTTCTCAGCCTGGCATTTCAGGCCCAACCATCTTTCCAGCAAAACCCTCTACAGAGACATCCCATGTTCCGTTCTGCCCTGAAACACCCTTCTTCTTTCTGTCCCTGAAATATATTGTTTTCTGGGTTTTTTTTTGGCCATGCTGTGTGGCATGTGGGATCTTAGTTCCCCAACCAGGGATTGAACCCATGCCCCATGCAGTAGAAGCGCAGAGTCTTAACCACTAGACCACCAGGGAAGTCCCCGCTGAAATATATTCTTGCCTGCTTCTCATCTTTAGAGTCCTAGCCCAAATGTCTGCTCCCCAGAAGGGGACGTGCTCTGGAGTCAGTATGTCTGGGTTCAAATCCAAGTTCCAGTACTTCCTAGCTTTTCTGACCTCAGGAGAGGATGAGAGGATGAGGTTTCCTCTCATCGTGCCTCAATTTCTCAAAAACAGAATGAGGGGTGAGGGAGGACTTAGGTAGTGTCTGGGTTGGATTCATCTCTGGGTCCCAGCACCGTCCAGCACAAGGGCCTGACAAGGAGACATCTGGAAATGAGAAGGGCGAGGTCTTGCACCCGGGGAAGGAAGGAATCCTGGCGAAGTGGATGAGTAGCCTCTGTCAGGTCTTGTTCCCTCTCTGGACACGATGGCAAGACTGCCCAAGAAAAAATGCCACACTCCGTCAAGTCCTTATGGGCTGAGAGCCCGTGGAACCTGAATCCACAGGCTGAGTTGTCCTCTTGCACCCTGGCAGAGCTCTCCCAAGAAGCAAAGGGGGTGAGGAGGCAGGCAGCTACCCCCATGGCCACAAATCTCATAGTGTCTACCTTCTTTCCGTGAATGGACATCTTCAGCCCCATTTCACAGAGAAGACGAAAGTGAGGGACAGAGAGAACTTAGGTCCCAACCAGGACCACACATGCTCCTAGGGTAGGTCTGGAATTGTATTCAAGTCCTTCAAATGCTTTCCACTGCCCCGACCTAGAAAAAAAGCAAGTGGAGAAAGGGGAAGCAAAGGTAGCCTACCTTCTTGGAGAAGAAGATTTGGGTGGAATCTCCAGCCTCCTCTACAGGAGCCCAGTGCAGCAGAACGTCATTGTCCTGAGGGAAAAAAGGAGGGGTTGGGAGTGCTTCCCTCCAAACTCCCCAAACCATATTTCCAAACTTCCTCCCAGTTCTGGACCCTCAGCCTTAGAAAGCCACCTCTCCTTCCTAACCTCCCGTTGCTGACCTCCACACTATACTCCTACAGACGCCGCATCCCTCCCGCTCTAGGCCTGCCCGAGCCCTGCTCTCTCCCGGTCTACCTTCTCCACAACACGGATGACGCCGGCGATGAGGGAGTCCGGGTCTTGGTGCTTCTTGGCACTGGTGTGCAGGTACACACCTCCTTTCTCAAATACCACCTAAGAACGGGAACCATTGAGGGGCGGGGCCCAAGCGTGGGAAGACACTCAGGGGGCGGGGCTCAAAAGAGAGCCAATGGGAGCAGACCCGGGGGAGGAGCTATTCACCTTGGGGGCGGGGCCCAGGGTACTTTACCTAGGGGATGGGGCCCGGAATGAAGCCTGTATAGCGCCAGGCTTCTCTGGCACTCCGGAGGATGGGGAGGGGAGAAAGGGGGAGTGCATTCCAAACTGGGCGAGCCCCAGGGGGCGGGGCTAAACGATATGGGTCTCCCTAGGGCAGGGGAAGGAAGGGTGACAGCGTGTTTATTAAGGGAATGGTATGCTTGTTAAGGAGGTGCTGGGCTCCCAAAGTCCCTGCAAGTCCTGAGAAAGAAGCAGACCACCGGAGGGCGGCGTTTCGCATAGACGGAAGCAAAAGAACGCGTCTTCAGTGCTTACCCTGTAACCGGCGCCCTCCATAGCCGCGGCCGAGACCTCACTGCCCCGGCTCCCTCCTTTTCCGGGTCAGCGTGCTGTCACATCCGGATAGGAGACTCCCCTCAAGCGCAGACAGTGGTGGCGTCCCCATGTGTTCTAGAATAGGAATGGGTGTAACCATTTTTCAGAATGGGGTGGTTAAACTTGAACCACGAGGTTTCAAGTCACGTCACAGACGCTAAAGGTGGAACGGCCAGTGCGCAGGCGCAGCGAAACAGTCCTAACGAAGAAGTAAACAAGGGGGCGGGTCCAAGAGCTCCACCCCCTCGCTCAAACTGGCTTGGAAAGGCCTACTCCTTTCTCCATATTGTGTACTGGCATCGAAGCCAAAAAGATGCCATTTTGCTCGAGGGCACGGGCAAGGCCGGTCAACTGCGGCCATGTTAATGCGGGGCAGTCCCATCTCTCTGCGGGGCGCGAAAGCAAGGTCCTAGAAGAGAGAAACGGTTAAAGAAAAAGGTGAGAGGAGCTGTACATCACACGAGGCCCCGAAGGACTCGGGTTAACGGGATGAAGCCGTCAGTATCCTCGGGGACGAAGCGGTCCCAGACGAATTCCTGAGTCACCGTCGAGAGAAAGCGTTCTGAGCCGCCATATTGAAGCTGGGCAAACCGAAGCAAGAAAGGATGCCATGTTGGATCTTTGCCAGCCTTGGTGCTGAGGGGTATAGGCTGGAGAACCCATATATACATTATGGGCAAATGATGCCAGGCTGCTTGCCATGTCATTAACGGGCCCTGCTTGCCACCAGTTCTGTGGAAGAGGTTATTATGGGGGAGGGACGTTAGGTCGCTTGCATTAGTATACTGTGGTCCTGAGTGTGCGTGTGCATTTTCCCCATATTTCTTGGGGAAATGTTTCCGAGCAAGCTGAAGCTTTTTTTTCACCATCTTTCTTATGGGCACCCTGCCGTCGCCATTGCTCCACTGTGATCCGGCGAAGCCCCCGTGGCCGCCATGTTGGTCTCGGGCGGCCGAGATAAGGGAGGCGGAGTGTGAAAAGTGGAGGCGGGCCAACCATGCGGAAGTGACGCAAGGCACCGCCATGTCTTTTGAGGGCGGCGACGGTGCCGGGCCGGCCATGCTGGCTACGGGCACGTGAGTGGAGGCGGCGTTGTGAACCGCGGTGTGGGGAGAATTTGGCCGTCCGGAGGAGAGGGGTGCTGGGAGGGCGAGCCGCTCGCGGGAGGAGTATAGCCAGCGTAGGTCAGAGGGCAGAAATCGCCCAGTGACCCTACGCTGAGCGCTGGAAAGGTGTCGCCCGCGGGAACCGTCGTGTCTGACCCGAGGCAACGCTTAGACAGCCTTATCCTCCGGTCTCTAGACCCACTAGGATCTTTACTTTGGCCGTGGACCATGTCCACAGGGTCGGGGGGTTACTTGGTGGGGCTTCGGGGCGCCCCTCACCCGTCCAAAGGCGGGACTTCCGGTCCTGGCCCCCACCTGGGCGGGCTTTCCTGTTTTCTTCCTAGAGAAGTGGGTCTTTCTCTGGACCCCCTGGCGAAGTGGGGACTCTGAGCGGTAGAGAAGGACCCCGGACATTCACCTGCCCCCGGCCACTGGGTGCATCCTCGAGTTCCTCCCACCTTGGGGCGGGGGAGGGGTTTACTTCCAGTTTGACAGGTGGTTGGAGGGGACTTCGCTAGCATCCCTCATTCCTTGGGGGGCTTTTCCTCTTTCCTCATCTCTTTCTGGAGTCACTTTCCTCACTTCATCTCCTCACCTCATCCTAAAAGGCCAATCACCTTACCTGTCCCTTCCTCCTCCTGTGGAGGACAGGTCTTACCTCCTTCTCTCCCTAATCTTAAACACCTCCATTTGGGGGGAGGGGGGATCTTCCATCTCTAAGCTCCTTGGAGATACAGAACTTCCTCCGGAAGCTGAAGGAGTGGGAGACCCTCCTGTGAGGTACTTGGCTTGGCTACTCTCCTGTTGGTCCTGGCAACTCTCCTGTTGGGTAACCGACGCCAGAGAGCTCCCAAGCCTTGGCAGAGAGGTCTGCGTGAATCACCCTTCTCCTCTTTGAGGTGTGTGGGACCCTCATGACCCACCCACTCCCACTTCACTCTTTTCAGCTATTCTAAGCTATAGGAGTTTGATCTACTCTTAGAGATGTTGTCTAAGAAAGGAGTTGAATCTTGGTGTCCCAAGGGAGTGAGAGCCCCCTGGCCTAGCACTACAAGGCTTTGTGACATTGGACCAGTCATTTCCCTGCCCTGAGCCTCAGTTTCCTCCATCAGATGGGGCTGACCCAAGGAGTGGCTGTGAGATCCTGTGCAGCTCCCAGTTCTGTTGGCTTTTGGAGTCAGGCAGACAGCAGTCTCACCCACTTCTGCCCTTTCTAGCTGTGTGCCTTCTGGTCAGTGCCTTAAGCTCTCTGAGCCTCACTTTTCCCATCTGGACTAGGAGATCATAAATCTTTCCCCATAAGGTAGGCAGGATGGCATTTGGGATTAAGAGCAGGTTGCCAGATCTAGGTCCCAGCTGTCCATCTCTCTAGCTAAATGACCCCGGGCAAGATACTGAATCTCCCCAGGCCTCCATTTGCAACTGTAAAGTGGGGTGATCATAGCCCCTCCCTCATAGGGGTGGTGGGAGGGTGGAATGAGATTGTTGATGACACGCTGGGGTCCCTGCCTAGCCTGTGGGAGGTGTGGTATAAACCTGCTTCAGGGTCTGTCAGGACTGGTACTGGTTGTGCCTCATTGCAAGGGCTTTGTACTCGGTGAGCTTCAACTGTCTCATATGTAAGGTAACAGCTCCCACCTTTGTGGGT